TTCACGCTTTCGTCCATATGACTCCTCCTCCCAATTGCGCATCCGTTGATCCTAATCTTTTTCTTTTTCTAAATATTTGACACCCTCATCACCTTACATCTTCTATGTTCAGATACACTCGACATTAACTTTCTACCTTTAACACACACATCCCGAAACTCATCCACTAACCTTTGCAATCAGCTCTTGAATCTCCATAAGCACGGTTCATCAGCAAAACGTAACTAGTGTTCAATCCATTTTGAAATTTTGATTCCCCAAAATTTAACCCACCCTCTCTCTACCAAAACACCCTAGCATTTACTTCCTTTACAACCCCATCTTAAAATATATAAACAACCATGGTGACATTACACATCCCATTGTCTAAGACCGACTTTTACCGAGGGCAAGTAGTCTCCCTCTCTTCTACACACCCTAACCTGAGCCTCACTTCCTCATAAGAGACTTCTTTACATCATTTAGTAATACCACCTATTCCATATACTTGCAACATCTGCCACATTACTCCTCTATCCACTCTATCATATGCCGTTCTAAATTCCATATGAGATGCAAATAAAAAACTTCCCTACCTTTATCTAAATAATCTTCACATATATGCTTCAATGTAAAATTGATCTACACATCCCCTTACCTCCACTCTGAAACCTCTTGCTCATCCGCAATCTACATTCTGTCTTACCTCTAATTCTTTCAATTAAACCCTCGAGTACACTTTTCCTGGTATACTCAGTAAAACTTATTCCTTCTCTATAATTTTTACAGTCTCTTCTGTCCCCTTTCCATTTATATAAAGGACTATACATGCTCTCCGCCAATCCCTAGGTACCTTCCCCTCTTTCATAACATTTAACAAAAGTACCAACCACTACACTATATCCCCTCTGCTTTTAACATTTCTGTCATGATCCATCAGTTCCAGCTGCTTTTTACCACCTTTTCAATTTTACGTATTTGGCCTCACGTACCCTCCCCACATTTCATTCTGGCTCTTCCCTTTTCACTCCTACAAAGATGGTATACCTCCCTGACCAGTGCATGAAATACTGCGTCTGTTTTCTTCCTTAACATTTAAACGTTCCTCAAATATTCTCGCCATCTACCTAAATACCTCCATCTCCCCATCTAATAACTCCCCTACTCTGTTTTTTAACTGAAAATGACCATACCTTTCCCTTAGCTTTCTTAACCTTGTTTAACTCACTCCAAATTTTTTCTTATTTTCATTACAATTTCTTGAACAGTTGCCTCTCCCACTCTATCATCTGCTTCGCTTTTGCAACTCTCTCACCATCTCGTTTACCGTTTCACTTTTACTCTCCACTATAGACTCTGCTCTTCTTATAACACTTCTGCTTTGTGTTATAAACCTCTTGCAACGCTGAGCTACCCTTTTTTACTCTTTTAGTCACAGGTCCTTTACTTTCATTCATTCCAACAATCACTCCTCTTTCCTCCTGATATATCCCCCTCCCAGTTAACCACAAACTTCTGCCCAACATAACATTTTTACTGCATTGTTTAAAAACTATTCACCCTCTTCACACCCCCCCACTACTCTCTTTGCACTAGCCCCCTTTCTGCCAATTAGTCTCTTATATCTCACCCGAACTTCCTCCTCCCTTAGTTTATAACTTTCACCTCCCTTTACTTGTTGTGCCACCTTCCTCTTTTCCCAATCTACCTCATTTACTCTAACTGTAGGGGTTACAACTAAATAATGATCCGATATATCAGTTGCCCCTCTATAAAACATGTACATCTGGAGCCTACCATCAACCTTTTATCCACCAATACATAATCTAATAAACTACTTTCATTACGTGCTAATCATTACTTTGTATATTTATTTATCCTCTTTTTCATAAAATATGTATTACTTAAATTACAAATCTCTTTCTACACATAGCTCAATTAAAGGCTCCCATTTACATTTACCCCTGGCCCCCAAAATTTACCTTACTACTCCCTCCATAACATTTTTACCCACTTTAGCATTGAAATCCCCAACCACTATTATAGATAGATACAATTGATTCAAAACTCCCACGCATTCAATCAACTTTCCAAAATCTCTCTCTCTCCTCTACAAGTCTCTGCTCCAGTTGCATTACACGCTTATGTTAACCCACTTTTCACATGACCAATCTTTATTTTTTTTTTTTTTTTTTTCAACAAGCGCGTGTACGTATCTCCACCGAGGCAGGGTGACCAAAATAAAGAAAGAAAAATCCCCAAAAAAGAAAATCTATTCATCTTCATGTTTCACTTTATACAACAACTCACACATATCACTGCCTGTTGCAAGACGATGCTCAGAATATATAACAGTTTAGAAGCATATAACGTATAGAGATACACAACATATTCCCTCCCAAAATGCCAATATCCAAACCCTCCTTTAAGTGCCGGATGTACTTCCAATTTTCAGGGACTAAGTCCGAATATATGAAAATAACCTGGTTTCCCTGAATCCCTTCATTAAATATTACCCTGATCACACTCCAACAGATCGTCAGGTCCCAAGTATCATTCGTCTCCATTTACTCCTATCTAACACGCTCATTGCACGCTTGCTGGAGTCCAAGCCCCTCACCCACAAAACCTCCTTTACCCCCCTCTTTCCAACCCTTTCGAGGACGACCCCTACCTCTTTCTTCCCCTATAGATTTATATTGCTTTCCATGTCATTCTACTTTGATCCATTCTCTCTAAATGACCAAACACCTAACAACCCCTCTTCTGCCTCTGACTAATGCTTTTATAACCCACACCTTCTCCTAATTTCCACACTCGAATTTTCTGCATAATATTTACACCCACACATTGCCCTTAGACAGGAATCTCCACTGGCCTCCAACCGTCTCCTTTGCCTGCTGCATATACACCGGCTTCACATCATATAGCGTGTTGGTACTACTATACTGTCTTACATTCCCTTCTTTTGCTCTCCATAGATAACGTTTTTTGACCCACATATACCTCAATGCACCACTTCACCTTTTTTCCTCATCTAATTCTATGATTAAACTCATCTTCTTAAACCAATCTTTATATTAGTACATTATTTATAGTACATTATTATTATCATTCTTTCTTATTATTTTTTTTTTTTTTTTTGTTTTTTTTCAAACCAAGTCGGCCAGTCTCCCACCGAGGCAGGGTAGACCCAAAAATAGAAAGAAAATCCCCAAAAAAGAAAATAACTTTCATCATCATTCAAACTCCGTTCACCACTCTCGCCATTATCACTGTTTTTGCATGAGGGGAGCTCAGAATACAAGGTCTAGAAAGCATACACATATAAAATACCACAAAATATCCCTCCAAACTTCGCAATATCCCAAACCCCTCCTTTTAAAGTGCAGGCATTGTACTTCCATTTCCAGGACTCAAGTCCGACTATATGGAATTAACCGGTTTCCCTGAATCCTTCACTAAATATTACCTCTACACTCCACTGATGTCAGGGTCCCAAGTACCATTCGTCTCCATTCACTTCTTCTACACGCTCACGCCACGCTTGCTGGAAATCCAAGCCCCTTACCCAAAACCTCCTTTACCCCCTCTCTCCAACCCTTTCCGAGGACGACCCCTTACCCCGCCTTCCTTTCCCCTATAGATTTATATGTACTTTCCATGTCATTCTAATGGGATCCATTCTCTCTAACATGACCAAACCAAAACAACCTCAACACACCCCTCTTCTGCCCTCACTCTGACTAATACTTTTTTTAACTCCACACCTTCTCCTATATTCCACACTCCGAAATTTTTTGCATATATTTACACCACACATTGCCCTTAGACCAGGACATCTACCGCTGCCTTCAACCGGTCTCTTGCTGGCTGCAATATATTATCTTATTATTATCTTATTTCATAATACAAACACTTTACCTTGTGTTTGCATTATGGTATAATATAAACGTGTTTGTTTATATCCTCCACGTCTCTGTCCTCTCTCTCTTTCGTTCATTTGTTTTATCTCGTTTACTTGTCTCTCACCATACATTAAGATGAGAAATATTTTGAGGTAAGTAATGAGTGAACTGTATATGCACTTTATCACTCTGGGATGCTTTAAATGTTAAGTGGATGGGGTGGAGTGGCCTGGCTGGCTACCATACCTACGACACCTGATTTCTTAATATAAATACTACTCATCTCGTCCTACATTAAGACTACAAATATTTTAAGGTAAGTAATGAGTGTACTATATGTGTATTTTACTTTTTTATTGTTTTTAATATCTAGTTCTATTGGTAACTTAATATATGTTAGTGCAAACTTGTTATCTAGCATTTATATGCATTTATAAATGGAAAAAAAGGGCTCTCCACTTTACGGTGATTTCAGCTTTACGGAAGTAGCCTGGAACCTAACCTGCCATATAAGTGGGGCCCTACTGTATATTTAAACTTGTGTAGCTTGTCATAGCAAAGCTATCTCAGGAGCCAGATTACGATGGCATCTGAGTGAAGACTGGGGTGTCATTTTGGCATATTTGTAAATATTACAGCACTCTGCAGGTGTGAAACAACCATGCAAGACTTGAATGTGCTGCAGACTTGGGGGGCAATCAATGAAATGGTTTGACAGTTGCTGTACAAAACCCTAGTGTAATCCTAGCCATAAAATAGAGCTATGTATACAGCAATATTACATTCTAGAGTAAGTGCTTTTACTTTAAAAGTATGCATTATCACTAGAATGGTACCTCCTGTTTCAGGGAAAAGGAGAGAGTAGTTATTACATCCAAAAATTTTCTTGCAGTTCTGATAGTAATACTACCGAGTTCTCAGTTATGGTTCTATATCATACATCTTATGCTCTATAGTATGGTTTGAATGCCTTTTGTAAACTGGCTTAACATATTAAACAAATACATTAATACTGATTTTAAAAAATTATGAGACCTTCCAAGTTGTTTATCAGCTCATGCTATATATCAATCAGATGGATTAAAAAAAAAAATTAAAGAACTCAATACATACCTGAGTTGTCTTACCACAGCCTGTGTTGCCCCTAATGATAGTAACTGGGTTTTCATAAATGGCAGCCATTATATCCTGCTTCATTTTGTACACAGGTAACTGGGTTCTCTGTTCCAACAGTGACTGTAACCTTTGATCACTCTGCAGACGGTCCTTTTGAGCTCTTTGCAAATCAGCACTAATTTGATTTAAAGTGAGCTGAGGAGAAAAGTGACAGTGTGGTTAGTGTTTAAATGTTACATAAAACTGCATCCCCAATCAATAAACATTAAACAGAATAATTTCTTTAGAATACAACAAAACCAGAATAATCAGGATCGTGTGCCTGATATTGACAAAAGACCACTCACCTGAAGAATGCTTAGAATTTATCATATAGTCTACCTAGAGGGTGTTCCAGGGGGTCATTGCCCCTGCAGCCCAATCCATGACCCTTGACTTTTTTTTTTTTTTAAACATCAGCCATTTCCCACCAAGGCAGGGTGACTCAAAAGAAAGAAAGAGCCAAAAAAAAAAGAAAGAAAAATACTTTAATCATCATTCAACACTTTCACCATCACTTATATGTGATGTGTATCCTTTCATATTACTTTTAACACTGAGCATCATCATGGAGAACTAGAACCATTGCACTCCAGCATATCATCCACATTCATAAAATACTTCATCTCTCTCTTACTCACAAAACCATAATTGTAAAAAGTTAACTGATCATCACCGTAATTGTCCGAAGAGGAATGAAGAGATTCTGGTAACCCTTGGGTAAGCTGAGAAAAATAAGAGGGCAGTACTGAGAATGCACCTAATTCTGAGCACTAGAAACTAGCAGAATCTAACATATAAATTCAAGCAGGGAAGCAAACTATTTCAAATGGACATACAGTACCATTTATTACTATATTTTTTTTTTTTAACAAAATAAATACTGCAAGTTCAAAGTCATAATTCATTTCTTCCCCATCTTATAAGCACATCACATTTTTTTCTGAAAAGCCTCCACATCTCCATCTCCATCTCTCTCTCTCCATCTCTCTCTCTCCATCTCTCCTCTTCTCCATCTCTCTCTCTCCATTCGCTCTCTCTCCATCAATCTCTTCTCCATCATCTCTCTCTCCATCTTCTCTCTCCGTCTCTCTCTCTCTCTCTCTCTCTCTCTGTAACTAATCCTGGGAAGTGTGGTGGTGGTCCAGCATCTCCACATCACTAGCTATGGGCTTGTACTACTTGTGCTCTCCTAATCTTTCAAAAACATCTGTAGCTGCATTATTTTCTTTAGTATAATTATTTCACCTGACTTCTAGTATCATATGTAAACTTGTTTTATGTACAATGATAAAAACAGTGAAAGTTTAAAAAAAGAAATCATTTTACACTACAGAGAAGCAGCTCCTGCACTTTACAGCTTAAATATTTTTATGGTTTAAAGATTAATGGCTCCTGAGAGCCTTTTCAGTCAAACCCCTATTTTTTATGTGTTTTATTATAAATTAAGTTTTTGTTCCCGAGAGCCAATTTACACTCAAAAATTTTTTTTTCAGGGCTATCTAAAGGGAAAAAAGAATCAAAAATGAAGGGAATAGGGTGAAAGTCAGGGACTGCCGTACCATGTCAAGCATTCACTTTGGTTTTAAACTGTCAAGTTATGGGTGTCACCCAAGGGCAAAGATAGTCCAAAAATTTTTCCACAGCCATTCAGGAAAAGATTAGTATAATAGGCTACAAACTAAAGATTTATCTTTATTTGAATATTTGGCATTTTGGGAGGGGTATGTTGGTATCTTTATACTTATATGCTTCTAAACTGTTGTTTTCTGAGCACCTCTGCAAAAGCAGTGATAATGTGTGAGTGTGGTGAAAGTTTTTGAATGATGAGGAAAGCATTTTTTTTGGGGATTTTCTTTCTTTTTTGGGGGTACCCTGCCTCGGGGGGAGCGGCGACTTGTTGGGAAAAAAAAAAAAAAAAAAAAAAAATTTAAAATCCTGATAGTAGGTTGGTAGACAGCAACCCCCGGGAATACTACTGCCCTGCCGGGTGAAAGGGAAAACCTGAACTGTTTTACTGTTGTCTTTTTCGTCTCAAAATGAAAGGTTTCATTTCCCGTCTGGCCTAATTCTATTACCTTAGGTCCCCTTTACACATACATGTACAAGCATATAACACAAGCACCTCTCTGGGTTTTCTATCTTCTTACTTGTTGTTCTTCTTTGTTTTTTTCTTTATCTCCAGGGGGAAAGTGGAACAGATTTCTTCCCCCTTTAAGCCATGCATGTCATAAAAAGCAACTGAAATGCCGGGGCAAAGGGCTGAAACCCTTCCTTGAAAAATTATTAAAAAAAAGAGAGAGAAACTTTCATTTTCCTATTTAGGTCACCCTGCCTCGGTGGGATATGGCCGGTCTGAAAAGAAGAAAAATTAAAATACCTACTGTAGACAATGGACCCTCATCCAAATTACAGCTGGTCCATGCATTCCAGTTTTGTTGTGGTGGAGACCAGGACACCACTCCCCCAGTTGACTGAGGTGCTTCAGATGCCTCAAATTCTGCCAGCTTAACATCAGTGATCAGGTTGATGGCTTGGGAAGGATCACTACCCTGGAGAACAAAAATTTAACTTTTAACAACCTAGTGTGAACCAATTCACTTACATACTCCCCGTACAATATAAATGATGGATGACCAGTGCACATCGAATATGTACTACAGTGGATTTTCCGTTTCTTTTCATATATTGTACTTCCCACTTATATTTTGTTTTGGGGCATGATTTTGCTTTCCAATAGATTACTGCTCACTAAAAACAATTATTTTATTATTATAATAAAAAGAAGCGCTAAGCCAAAATGCTTACAGCGCTGCAGGGCGGAAGGAAGCGAGGGCACAGGTGGCAAAAAAGGGAGATGGATGAGTAATGGGTTTAAAAGGATAACAGAGGGGGGTTAGTGGAGGGTAAAAAGGGTTTTAAAGGGGCCACCCAAGGGACTGAACTAGAATGGGGGGGGGAGTGCGAAAAGTATATCGAGTTTGTGGAGAAAATCAGTCGTTGTCAAAAAGCAAGAGAGAGTCAGGATTAAAGGAGGGTCATCAGCAAGAGGGAAAAGGTAAGAGAGGTAGTAGAACGAAGAGACTTTGGGGGTAAATTCTGGTGCTCGTTGATGGGGGGGCTTTAAAAGAATGGGCAAATCGATCGGGAAACTTGCATGCTCACGAGGGGAACGGGGGGCCCTCTCCATGAGTTTCCCCATGAGTAAGACGGTGGGGCCAATGCGAAGGCGGGAGAGAGGGTCCCCCAACCTCGGCACTGATGAAAAAGAAGACGGGCCAGTAACCTATGTTCGGTTTTAATAGAATGAAGTTTTTACCGAGCAGAGCTTCCCAAACGTTGTTCCCAACGGGGCAAAGGTGGGAAAGCTATTCAGCAAAATAGTCCCAGAAATGGAAAAACCCCGATGGGAAAATTGGTAGGGCCTGTATGCGACCACGCAGCGTGTTCCCGTTCATTGCCGTAGCGACTGCCAGGGCCCCCAAAAAAAAAACAATATCTTTATGTTTGGTGAGTACAGGTCCCAAAGTTGGATAGGGGGAACTAGGGGATGAGATGTATAAAATTTTTTCTATAGCCTGTAGAGCACAAAGGGGTCTGAGACTACACAAATGAGACAAGGCTAGATCGATAGAAAAAGTGCTGCAAGAATGGTCAGTTCAGAAGTAAAAATGCTAGCTGAAGATAGTAAATCCCCCCGCAGACGCTGTCCGGAAACATGCTGGAATCGACACCATCTGAGATTGGGGAAAGCCTTTGGTGCACGCGGTGGCTGGAAAAGGGAGTGGAGTGATCAAGAAAAAGGAGGCGGGAACCCACCGTAGGCAGTTGAGTTTTTCGAGCAAGGGAGTGAAAAAGAACAGACCCGAAAGTGGAATTTCCCAGGGGGGTAGGGAAAAGTGGATGCTACTGAACAATAAAGGTGGTACTAAAGGGGAAAGACGAGTGAATGTGGGCGAAGAGAAAAGGGACGGAGAAACGGGCGGCGAACGAATAAAAAATGTTACTAAATCGGGGGGACCTTCTATAAAGGGAAAGGTTTGTGTAGTTTGTGAGAGCGTACTAGTAGCAAAGGGAAATGGGCATCCGGCGTCGGGACAAGGATGGAACTTCATTGTTAGAGGCTCTCAACAGGGAAAGAGCAAAAAAAGCACCAAGGAAAAAACGTAATCCTTGGGGTGGAAAAGTTAAGGTGAGAGAGTAGCAGGGAGGCCCGCGGAATAAATTGGGTCACCTTTAATCGAGTTTCGAAAAAAATGAGGGTAAATGTGGCAAAGCAGAGTTCGACGATCAGCTCCCCGGGAAAAGATGAGAAGGGTTTAAGAAGTTTAAAGCCGGCTGTGACATTTGCCTTCAGAGGGTAATGTGATTTTTCCAGGAAAAAACCGACGGTAAAAGAGAAGGTGGGAAACCCTGCTATCCCTTGGGGGGATCGGGAGCCTGAGATAAAAAGGATGATCAGGAAAACAGGGTTTCTTTTAAAAGAAATTGGTGAGTTTTGGTACTTAAAAAAATTTAAAACTAGCGTGGTGGCCAAGTGGAAAACCGGTTCGACGCATGCGGAGAGAAACTGAAATAAGAGAAGTAGCGCCTGCACAAGCAATAGGAAGTCATCAACATAGAGTGATGACCAAATTATTGGGTGGAAAAACGAGGCCAAATCTTTTAAAGAAAAGGAAAAAGTGTTGTGCTTAGAACACATCCCTGGGGGGACACCTTCACTTGGACGAAGTCCGGGGAAAAAACATTATTGACTCAAACAGGGAAATTCGTCAGTTAAAAAGTTCTAAGGAAGGATGGTAGATTCCCTCGGGGGCCTAAGGAAAGGGGCCGGGGCCAAAAAAAATTACCTCCAAGTTTGTCATATCCCTTTAAAGGTCAAAAAATATGGCAATAATGAGTGTTTTCGCAAAGGCATTCGAACTCGTATCAACTAGTAAGGGGTCTAGGTAAAAACGACCCTTACGAAAGCCATATTGACTAGCGGGAGAGGGTTGTGTGTCTCTAAATCCACTTTAAAAACGTCATTTACGAGACTTTCCATCACTTTCAAATGCATGGGAAGGGAGCGGGGGAAATTGGGGAGGCATCATGCCCTGTAGTCCCCCGGTTTGCGGAAAAAGGGGAAAATGGGAGATTTCCCCACGGGGAAGAATCCTTGTGCCAAAAAAGATTGAAGAGGTGTAAGGGACTAAAAAGGTGACCGATTAAATGTTGAACATAGAATATGAATGTCGTCAGGCCCAGCTGCCCCATGTTCGGGAAGCTGAGAGCGTTGCCTCCGTTCTTGAAGTGTAAAAGGCCTTATCTTTCTTCTCTGAGAGAAGAAAAAGGGGCCAAGGGACTAACTCTCTGGCAGATTTTAGGAAAGAAAAAGAGGGGATGTTTGGGCCCTCGGGGAAATACGGACCAGATGTGGCCAAGTTCAAAGGCAACGTCGAGAAAGGGGTTTTCTACATCAACCCGTGACCCCTTTTGAACAGGAGGGGTAGGAGAGTATTTACCCCCTCAAATTTCCTCACTTTTTTAGACTGCACTCATAGAAAAAGCAGAGGTGATGGGGGAAACAGTCTTGCCACAATGCGTTTACTTCACGGATGACACGGCGAGCGATCGCACGCTTCTGTTTAAAAAACAAGAAGTCCTTTAGCGGTTCTATTGTACCGGTTTCCGCCCCCTGCAGCACCCTTTCAAACGTACTGCCGAGCACAAGAGGAGACACCAAAGGGACGCCCTTTGAGAATGCCTGCCTGGGTCTGGGTATAGAATAGAAAATGCCGGTATAAAATGACGTCAAAAGATGTGTTGGCTCTCAAAAGGAGGATGAAAAGGAACCCTCACTAAAAAGCAGTGAGGTGTGGTAAAAATCCCAAAATTTTCCGATCAAATTGCCAGCTAGGGTTCGGAAAGGTGGTGAAAAGGAAGGAAAAAAATAAAAAGTCGGAAAAAAAGATCGCTGTCATGTAAGTCTGGTAGAACAGACAGGTGAAGTTTGTGCGGGAGGAAGAGCAGAAGATAGATGATGCAAGAGAGAGTATGGTACGAGGCAAAATGGGGGGGGAGTACCCGTATTTAAACAGGAGGGGGTGAGAGGGAGAAAAACCCCCAAGGATGCCACGGAGTCACAATGAGACCCCCCCAGAGGAAATGGTGGGGTTTTTAAAATCACCAAGTAAAGAAAAGGGGGGGTGGAAGGATGAAACAAGAAAGGCAAAGTCTGGGATAGAAAATGCCTAGAAGGGGAGAATATAAAGAAAATTATTGTAAACCATTATTCAAATGGATAAGGGGGCTGCGTGTAATCAGCGGTATGGCAAAAAGTTGCAGTCGGAATTTTCATTGCGTAGAAGGGCACTTTATTTAAAAAGGGCCCATTGGAAAAAAGGGTCCGAAAGAATACAATAAAATTTTTAGCCCGAGATAGGTTGGAAAACAGCCGAGTGTAATTTTGGTTTTGTAAAAAAGCCAACAGGGGAAAACCTGGGGAAAGCAAAATCTGAAACTCACCCCTTTCCCCTGAGGCCCCCGGGGAATTTCCCCGTAAATAGGCCATGATTGGCAATGAAGAAAAAAACCAGGAACTGTAGGTAAAGGCACCTCCCGGTAGAGGGGTTAGAAAAGCAACGTGTGGTGGATTGGAAGCGTTCAAGTAGGAAGGAACGGGCGTTGCGAAAAAATGGGGTTGTGAAAATGGAGGGGAGGGAAGAGAAGGAACAGGGAAAGGGAAACGTGTCCATTTAAAGGGTTTTGTTCTGCAAAACTTGAAATGGCTTCAAGTGTTTCTGAATTCAAAGATGTATGGGGACCATATTGGAGAGAGAAGGAGGAGGGTGAGTAAAGATTGGGCAGTAATGGACGTACCAAAAATGAGGGGGGGGAAAAGTTAAGGGACTGGGATAAGTGTGGGGGGGGGGGCAGAAGAGGCAGAAACCGGGAGGTTTGGGGGAAAAGGGAGAAACTTGGGAGGGGTGGGGGTGGAAGGGATAGTACGGGGGAGGGGGGAATCTCCACATTGTTTGAGCCAGAAGGGGGGGGGAAGAAAAAACGTAAAGAACTGGAAAGGTAAAAGGGGGAGGTGGAAGAAGGGGGAAAGGGAAGGGGGAAAGAAGATTTGAGTAATGTGGATTTTTTGGACTTCTGAGTAGAGGGGCGATTGGTTTTTAGGGTCGTACAGGGGTTTTTCAATCCTGGGGTTTTTGAGGAAAGGACGCGAAGATGCGAGAACAGATGAGTTTTAGTCGGGACGTCAGAGCCAAAAGGGCGTTTAAAAGGGGTTAGATTGCCCTAGTGGTTGGGAGGGGTAACAACAGAGGAGGCTGCAGAAGTGGGACCCCAGAAGTGGGGGAATTTTGGAAGCACGGATAAGTAACACGGGGGGTAGTCTCCCTTTGGGGGGGGTGAGTAAAAGCCCTAGCCTAAGGGGCCCCTTTGCCCCTTTGAGGGAAGGGTTTACGTTCATTTAAGTAACCTTTGGGAACGGCGGGGGGGTACGAAGGGTGAGCTTCATTACAATTAAGGGCAAAATGGAGGTTGACTCAAGATGTTTAGAAAGGTCGCGGGACCACAGACTGGGGATTCGGCCCTAGATCTGCAATATTTCGCTGGGTGACCCAAAAAGCCCGCAATTTTTACATGTTGCGGGTGGGATCATTTTCGAACTTGTAAACCCATGTCCCGCGACATATACAGAGGACGGGAGTTCTCCACGTCAAAGTTAAAACGAGCCACTTGAAGGGTAAGTCTCCCCCCCGGGCAGGGGACAAAAAGGCTATTTGGGATTGGGGGATCCCGGAGTTCAGTGTTCAAAATGTCATTGCCCCAGACTGGAAATTCTGTTTGGCTATGGTATGGAGCAGAATGCGTACCCCTAAAAAAATTTAGAGAAAGATGTTTTTCAATAGTGTAGGGTAGTTCGATATTCGAAGGGAGAAAGATATGGTGGGTGGGGATTTTGGACAGTGACGTGGCATACCGTCTTAAGGCATGAAAATGAAATTCTTACCCAAAATTACGCAGGAGCGCTTTGCCCCAATACTATGGTCAGAAAGGTAGGCAGAAAAAGAAATCGGTCTTAAAGTAAAGAATTTTGTCCATGTGGGTCCCAAACTAGCGTGGAGAGGGATGGTTGACGTGTCGGTTTTTCCGGTAGAATGGGAAGGTCGAAGGAGCATACAGGAGATTTTCGTTGGGGTTTGGGGGAGGACCCGGAGTTGGTCCCGGGGTGGGAAAAGGGCGGGCGATTCGAAAATTGCCTACCGTAGAGGGAGAAGCCGGGGGAAACTAGTCAAAGGAGAGCGGAAAATTCAGACAAATCAAAGGGTCAGTCGAAGCCCCGGTACCTGAAGGGGTGAGGAAACAGCACCAGCAAAAGGGACAGGGGCATCAGGGTGTCCGAAGAGTGGAAAAACAAGGCAGGGTCAGAATGGGGTGCGGTATCAAGATGGGCCGGGGGTAGTGGGTTATGGACTAGGGTGCCAGGTTTGGTTTTCCTTTGCTTTTTTTTTTTTAAGAAAAAAAAAAAAAAAGAAAGAAAAAAAAATAAAAATAAAAAAAGAATAAAAAAAAGGGGGAGCAGGGAAGAATAGTTCCCAGGGGGAATGAAAGGGCCAGAAATCTCCCCCCAGCCCAAGAGGACCCCAGCACCCCCGTAGCGCAGATGCAGCATGGGGAACCCGTGCCATTTCCCTACCCTTCATGCCAGTAAACCCGCAATCCCGGGATGCAACCTACATCGCCCAGCTACCTCGGTGGCAAAAGAGGGGTGGCCGGTATCCCCCACAAAGATACCTCCTTCGGGGCCCCCCCCCGGAATCCGAAAAAAGGTGGCTTCCAGAGAACACCGTCGCCCGAAAAAAACCCCAAAATATCGGGATACCGGGGGGAGGGATCGGGAATCCCCCGGCAATCCCGATTCCACGGCAAACTCGCCCCCGCCAAGAACCTCCGGAATGGGATGGACCCCGGTTTTCCCTTTCCCTACCTAGGAAAATAAGCACTGTGGGGGAAATCCCAAAAAGGGCCAAAAAAAGGAAGGCAAAAGGGGGGGTGGGGGGGGAAGGAGGAGGAGGAATGGAAAAAGGGGAGGATGGGGAGGATGGGATAGGGGAGGGGAGAATGGGGGGTAATTAGGTTCGGTCTGAGGAAGAAGACCGACAGGGCTAATTCCTCAGACCAAGAGCCTCTTCACCACGCCAAGGAGCCCCCCTTGAAGAGGTCACTACAAACAAGAGGCATCCACATCAAATGGGCAGTGCTCAAACCACTATCTGGACTAGTAAAAAAAAAAAAAAAAATTTTCAATATTTCAAGAGTTTCTATACCTTTCTTAATAACAAACTTCAAGTATATAAGGCAAACCCTTTAAGAAACATTCCAGAACTACAGTTTAACATTCCCTGCCCGTGGTATGGTTCATAAATGTACAATTTTGTTCAGATCTAAGTGATAGTTCTGGGATTGTAGTTTTATTTAAATTATGATTGTTTTCTTTTAACATGCTGGTCATCTCCCACTGAGCATTGTGACCTGAAAAAAGTACTTTTTCCACCATTGGTTACTATTACTGTCTTGCAAGAGGCACACAGATACTACGGTTCAGATGTCCCTTGAAACTGCAAATATTTCTGCCCCTCCTTGAGAGTGCAAGTACTGTACTTCCCACCTTCACCCCTCCTTCAGAGTGTAGGCACTGTACTTCCCACCTCCAGGACTCAGTTTCAGTTAACTGGGTTTCCTGAATCCCTTCACAAAATGTTACTTTGAAAGGAAGAGTTTTTTCACCATGGGTTCAACCTGAATTAAGTCTGCCAAAAAATACTTATAATTCAGCCATAAAAATATTGTAAATATTGTATGTATAGATTCAAACCAATCACTAAATGAAAAGAATAGCTTTCATATACATGAACATACAGTATGAATGCATTTGGTGAAAAAAAAAAAACCTAAGAGAAAAATGTCACTAATTCTTGCAATAATTGTATACTGTATTTACTGGAAATAAACAGTCACTGTCAGGAAAGTAACAGCATACCTGCATTCAAAAGTAATTAATTGGTTCCTAGGTGCCAATATCCTAAGTATGGAACATTATACAGTACGTCAGGGATCTCCATGTGCAGAATTTAGCAATACAACATATCTCAAAATGATGACTGACTTGCATTATTAAATAATAAAGTGTGTTTAACTTTTCAACATCAACTTAGGCCCATTTCTTTACTTCACTATTTGTAAAACTTACTGGCATGATTGGCTGGACACCTGTGACCTTAATTACAGAGTCCAACAGAGTTATAGCTTCAGGTGAAAGAGATACTTGATATGGCTTTAGTTGATTGCTGTCCTTTTTCTTCAGTGTCCCAGAAAATGGCTCGATAACATTCAGGTGGTAGAGTTGACGGACAAGTGAGAGAGAACAACTTTTACTGGCAGCTTGTTTATTGGATCCAGTTTCTCTTGCATAAACATCTGTGGATGAAGTGGTAGGAAATTTTATTTTAACAATATATCATGTTTTTATCAATACATTTTTGTGGGTGCCCTAAAGACTACATGAATTAATACAGTATTTAGCAAAAAATCAGAACCATCTTATTTTGGGAAGAGCATGAATCGAAAGAGAATTAAGTGGAATGTAATTTTTCCAACCACTGTATCAATTTATCTGTTCAGAAACAATGCAGCGATAAGAACTGTGTCAAGAATAATGTAATGCAATGTGTGTGACACCTTGTTTTCAGAATCATACAAAACATTTAGGATTAGATTTACTTAGCAAAGTGCTAAACTTGTGTTGGCCATCTAGCACAAGTAGTGGAGGCACACTCCTCTGCTTGCCAGCTAAGATATACGCATGCTACTAAATATTCACCAAATATGTTTGACAGAACAGTTATGCAATATCTAAATTGTTTCTATATTTTATATTTTATGAACATTTCATTGGGATTAATAAACAACTGAACTTTTGTAAAATACTTACTTCTTTGGAGTTGTTTCACATAAAAAGACATTTCAGCCACAAAACTCCTGTTATGGAGAGTAAACAATTAGGAAATAATGCATAATTCAAAATACAAGTATTATACTAGTATAGAAATTATGATACAAGCAAATTTAAACAATGGCAAAAAATGATTGCTCAAATTTATTATCTGAATGTGAAAATTTCAAGATAATGGTTAGAAACTAGACTAGCCAAAAAAATCAATATTAAACCGGAGCAATCAGATGGCCAGAATGACTCATAATTTATACAACCAAAACTGAGGAATTGAGTGAGATGCAAAATGATGACAATAGGTAATGGTTCCATTTATCAAGGCAAACCTCCATAGGATGTTCCACTTTACCGAGACCTATATCAAGTTGTAGACCTTGATACAGGTCTCGGTAAAGATTCACTAGCTCACCCAGAGCTAGTGAACCTAGCTAGTGAAGCTAGCAAACCTTTATCAAGTGACACAGTCCACACTTGTTTTACCTACTGACAGATAACAAGATACATAGTTGATACATGGCACCATTACTACTGCAAACATTTTGCCTCAAAATTATTGATTCACAGCAGACAAGAATTACACTTGATATTATTATGATGATGATGGGGAAGTGCTAAATCTATGTAAGGGCCAAGCAGCACTTGCAAAATGGGAAGGATGGCAGGGCAATAAGGACTGATTAAAGGATCAAGAGCTTTAACCAGTAACAAGGTAACCCTCCCCCCCCCCCCACTTTGAAGGGCATGAAAGTCAAGTTGCTCAATGAGAAGGTAGATTATATTATAGAGAATAGTAGTCTAAGTTGTTAAATAAAGTGGAGCCTCTGTTTTCGTATGCCCTAGTTTGTATGTAAAACCATAGTTATTCTCTATACAATGTATTTTTCTTAATATTTTTAGGTGTCTGGAATAGATTAATTGGATTTACATTATTTCTTATGGGAAATGTTAACAAAAAATACATTTTATAGAGAATAACTATGGTTTTGCGCATACAAAAACCAAGGTTCCACTGTGTAAAGGATGAAACAGAGGGTATATCATGCATGAAGCAAGGAGAAATATGGTTTGTCAGGAGGGAGCAGCCAGAAGTGGTTAAGGCAGAAACCAGGTTGAGATTGGGATGGATGGGATTAAAACATTTGTTATAAGTTTCACATCCACAGAAATAAATCTACATCACTTTCTCTTCTCTCCAGTTATGAGTCAACTGAAAAACTGTTTTCCAGAAACATCTCAACAACCCTTTAAATTTTCTCTTCATCTTCTATGAACCTACTGATAATAAAATTAAAGTACATACATAATACAACTCATCACACTATTTCTTTCTCTTCTATTGAACCAACTGATAATACATACATTTATGGTAGCCCAACTGTATTCACTTTCTCTATTTTTTTCAATTTGCCATCTACTCTTTCATTCCCCTTCTGTATTTACTTTCATCCATTTATACTCACCTTTCTGAACTCCTCAAACAATTTTTACAGATTCTACCAGTAACACTGTCACCTGCCTGTAGATAACTATTATGACAGCTCCTGAGCACAATCATATTATCTTTTAGGGCCACACTTCTGCATAACCCTCTAACATTCACTTCTCTCAAGATCCTGTCTACAAACATTAGTAGTTATGTAGACCTCACACAATTTTGTCTAAGGTGACTCTTACCAAAACTTGCCTTTTCTTAAATTTTCTAACACCTGCTTCACAAGCTCAACTTAATGCCTGTTTCATACATTTAAAACACTTGATACACTGAAACAGTTCCTTTCCTTTATTCACATACCTGATTTAGTGCAAACCAATTCACAAATCTTCCTTCTGCAAAAAAGCTCTTCTTCTGCAGACATGCTATATCATTCCATTACCTTATAAATCACAATTGTACTGTAAACATTTTTTTGACAAAGTACTGAAAAGACTTACTGTGTTCTCCTAGCATTCTTGTAAACTCTGTTGTTCCATATACCTTTGTATAAAGAAATCAGAACTGCTCTCTGTATCATCCCCACCTGCTATTATCTGCCACCTCATTGATGCTCTGCCACAAGTACCCTATCCATCCCTACCGTTTCTTACCTTTAAAATTCCTTATTGCTTCACTTACTCTGAGCTTTTCACTCTCTCAATGGATTTCATTTCTCCTCACAAAATTTCTGCCTTGGTTTCATCTACATTATACAATTTAAAGTAGGACTGCCATTCTTTCAATACCTCTGCCTCCTGGAAGTGAGAATCTAATAATGACACAAAGGTAAAAATTTTGTGAAGAGTACTGGGAACCACTCAGGAAACTTCCTAAATGAATAACCACCATCATACTGGCTATAAGGCAAGAGCTAAACTCTTCCAGACTTGGCTTGTATTGTACTCACAAACAGGGCTGAAAATGTTCCAGCTTATACAAGACCGAAGTCACGATCTTCATCAACACATTATCGGCATACTACTGCAGTGTCCGTGAAATGAGAATTTTCATTGTACAGTACCTTTACTGTGAAATTCCCAGAATATTAAAAATTTCATGGCTCCTTTCTAACATTACCTCTACTCAGTTACCTTTTTCTTTATACTGATCTCAGTTTTTTCCAGTAAACTCTGTTGATAATGTTTCATTCATTCTTCCACTGGCACTCATATGGAACTCCACCATTCAATATTTGTTAACAAATAGTTTGTAATTAATCACTCTACTCACACTAACCTGCTATGCATTTACACAGCACTGTAGTATTTGATGTGGTCCAGTCAGCTGCTGCCTGTGGAGAACACTGCTCATGGTAACTCCTCAGCCACAAATTGTGTCCGTGATGCCCTCGACCATTTTGTTCAGTTGAGTAATTTATTACTCATTTTTCTATCTTATGTATTACCTCTTAAAACTTGCAAAAAGATGAAGCTTTAAATCAGCACTGATAAATTTCTAACATGTCCAGATCACACTGATAACATTCTACACAGTTATTGGAATAAGAATTTATGTGCTTTAAACAGAAGTGAATTAAACAAAATACAAAAACTCTTAATCATTACTTTTGAAAACCACTACTTTTTTTTAGTAAACTGCTTGGCTGCCTTTACCCATGGGATCAGAACAAGTTAATAATAACAACAATAATAATTTAGGATTTTATTATTCTTGAGTACCCGTTCTTTCAAGAAATTCACAAGCTCTCACAGCATTATCATTGGGATTGTAAGGTCTAGAAAATGTGCTTTCAACTGAGAATTAAAAACCTGAAGAGATTCCTGACTAAGACACTGGTTACCTGTTATACAGTCTGGGAACTACATAAAAAAAAAAAAAAGGCTCTCTCTGCAAATGATTTCTCCCCATTAGCATGAGCCTCAATAAGTCTGAGAAGTTCCACAGCAATTCATAGAAACATTCCTGAGCACAATATAAAAGGCAAAAGCATATCAGCAAGATATCTGAATGCAATAATTTTGTTTTTGTACAGATTTTAAACTCAGTTTTTGCCTTGACAGGAGCCAGTGCAGGCCATAAAAGTAGGGACTAGTGAGAGCAGAAATACAACTAGCTGCACGATTCAGTACAGACTGAAGTCATTTAAGCAAGTAATCAGACAAACCTTCAAACAATTACAAAAGTCAATTTGAGAAGAAGCTAACATGTTGATATTGACCAAGATACTCTGCATGTCAAGATATTTTCTGGCTGCATAGAGATTATAAATATAAAAATTGCAAGATTTAACAATTTACTTATATTTTGCAATAAAATGTTCATGTTGCACAAGTATCTTATTTACATTCTGCCAGTATCCATATACGAGGTTCCTGTAGCTGCATTCATAAATCAGTTGCACAGGAGGAAATAGTTGGCAAGAGAAGGACCTGCCCAGCAACTTTAAAGAACATAAGAACGGAGCAATGTAGTAGGCCTTTCAATTTTGTGGGTTGCGACAGATTATGAATAACAAGAAGCCCAAAGTAGATCCTTGTGAAAACACTCAGGACTCATCCCTACTCTGATTAAACCCTATTTATACAAAGAAGCCAGTGTACTTTTCATATGTACACTGATAAGCATCCTAGAACAATAAAATAAACATTTTTCTATTTGCAGTGTTCAGAAATGGTGTACTAATACAAAATGGTATGTATTTATAAAAAAATCATCCATTATGTGCCATTTTAGTAACTCCAGCACACCTTTCTCATCAGCATAGGACAATGGGTGATTCACTGAATAAAGGTACTTGCACACACACAATGAACCTTGTATGTTGCCACCAATGACCTTTCCATGTGAATCAGCCAAGCACTAAATTTACTACTACAATTCTGTACTACAATTCTTTGCTTTCATTGAAGTATTTGTAACTTTTTAAAACAAAGGAAAAGTGCCTGAAAACAAAACAGGGATTTAAATAAATATGAAAAAACATACCAAGCAAAGGATGAAACAAGAGGACTGTTCTTGGAAACAAGTACAAATACAAATATCTCTAGAGATAGCAATGGATGACACAATATGTCTGAAGTACACAAATATAATACTGTACTGTATATGACATGAAAGGTCCTATCAACATGACAAGAAAGAGAATAACTTTTTCCTAAGTGATGATATTCCATGGGCAAAGTTCAACCATTCAACTAACTTAAACATTCACCAATGAATATGTAACTGATTTAAACAAAGAACATTATCACCTCAAAAACTCTTGTAAACTGGACATAAGAATTTGTTTAATTATAAACAAATGGTGCTGAAAATTCCATCCTTCCTCATTTCAGAACTACAGTACAGCGAGCCCTAGATTTAACGGACTAATGAGGGTAAGGGAGTGTCCGCTAAAGCCAATTGTCTGTTATATCTGAATTATGATATTTTTCCATGACCTTAATATTAATGGACAATTTCTTATTTAATGGACTTTGTCCACTGCTTCCGAATGATGCATGACCACAAATTTTGTCCGTTAAATGAGAAATCCATTAAAGCAGGATCCATTAAACTGAAGTTTAACTGTAGAGTACATATTTAAGTGGTGATCAAATGCCTTGAGTTAAGTCATAATCTATATTTGACTCATATCACAAGGCTCGTACAGTGCATAAGACAAGCTAAGCCCAGAGTTACATAAACTCTGAACCAAGCCTGTGGTCTTTAAGAGGCTTTGTTTATGATAGAGCAGTGTTCCTCACAGGCCCAGCATTATTGTAGAGATCATGAGAAAAAGATTCATGCTTTTTGCTCATCATCTCAAAAAAATATACAAGAAAAAATATTCCTGCCTTTGAAACCTGAAGTTTTGTCCAGGTCAATAAGGCAATGATTCAGTGCAAAGATAAATCCACTAAAACGCTGCAAATGATTTACCTTTCAGGTATCCGAGTCTGAACAGACTGAACATGTTCAATTTGTTTCGACTTGGGTACCTGCAAATATTTTTTCACTTTGTAGATAAATGATAAACTAAACACACAAGACAACAAATATAACTAAAGCTTCAGTAGCTACACACAGGTAATCATGTGCACTCTCCCTCTGGTGCCCATATCAATACCTTTTTCACTTTAAAGCTATCTAAAACTACTCTTCTCTAAAGTATGGATGATTTGGTGTAGAATATACAAGTACACAGACTGGAAAAAGCTCACTGTTTATATTGTCACCAAACATATAAGAACTTCTCCATGGGGAAGTGGAGCAGAATTGTTCCTCTGTAAGCCTTGAGTGTCATAAGAAGTGACTAAAATGCCAGGAGCAAGGGGCTAGTAATCCCTCCTCCTGTAGAAATGAACCAGGCCGTAGGGGCGTTGATCCCCGGAATGCCCTCCAGGTAGACCCTACCTTGGTGAGATATGGCCAAATCGTTGAAAAAAAAAATATATACAAGAACTTGCTATTTTTTTTTTTTTTTTTTCCAACAAGTCGGCCGTCTCCCACCGAGGCAGGGTGACCCAAAAAAGAAAGAAAATCCCCAAAAAGAAAATACTTTCATCATCATTCAACACTTTCACCACACTCGCACATTATCACTGTTTTTGCAGAGGTGCTCAGAATACAACAGTCTAGAAGCATACACATATAAAGATACACAACATATCCCTCCAAACTGGTAGTAGGTTGGTAGACAGCAACCACCCAGGGAGGTACTACCGTCCTGCCAAGTGAGTGTAAAACGAAAGCCTGTGATTGTTTTACATGATGGTAGGATTGCTGATGTCTTTTGTCTGTCTCATAAATATGCAAGATTACAGGCATGTCTTGCTACTTCTACTTACACTTAGGTCACACTACACATACATGTACACATTTATTTATACACACTCATCTGAGTTTTCTTTGATTTTATCTTAATAGTTCTTGGTCTTATTAATTTTCCTTTTATATCCATGGGGAAGTGGAGTAAGAATCTTTCCTCCGTAAGCCATGCGTGTTGTAAAAGTCAACTAAAATGCCGGGAACAATGGGCTAGTAACACCTTTTCCTGTAAAGATTACTAAAAAGAATAAGAACTTGCTATATTTATATCAAAACATACTAAAGATGAATGCACTTGAGATAGCAATAACCAAGAAAAAAAAAGCTTATTAATAAAATGATGGTGTTTAAGGCTGTGTCTACAACAAGTGGAACACTGCCAATTATGGCTTTCACTAGCAGCAATATTGTGAGAGGACAGATTTCTACTGTAATCTAACTCTTATTTTACATAATCTATGCATGAAGGGCTGAGAGCATATTAAGTGGAAGAGTAGGTAGCACCACATGCCTTGGCTCAAACTGAAGCCAGTCAGCAGGAAAATGAGATGCCTTCACCTCCTCTTTCAAGATATTAACCATTATGTTATTAATGATAATATATCTTCAATGAATTCCGAGAGTTTTTCTATTCCCAGAGCCTGGCCTTAGGCCAGGCTTATCTGGCACTTGCCTGATCAACCAGGCTGTTGCTGCTGGTGGCTCAAAGCCCCACATATCCATCACAACCTGGTTGATCTGGCACCTGGTAAAGATATTTGTCCAGGGGCAGCAGCTGGCAGATTTACTAATATTTTTTTTTTCAACACGTCAACCGTTTCCCACCAAGGCAGGGTGACCCAAATGATAGAAAAACCCAAAAAGAAAGAAAAATCTTTCGTTATTAGTCAACACTTTCACCATCACTCATACATAATCACTGTCTTTGCAGAGGTGACCAGATACGACAGCTGAGATAGTCACTCCAAACTGCCAATATCCCAGACCCCTCCTTTACAGTGCAGGCATTGTACTTCCAATTTCCAGGATTCAAGTCCGGCTAACCGGTTTCCGTGAATCCCTCCACAAAATATTACCCTACTCACACTCCAACAGCTCATCAGGTCCCAAAAGCCATTCATCTCCATTCACTCCTATCCAACACGCTCACACATGCTTGCTGGAAAACCAAGCCCTTTGCCCACAAAACTTCCTTTTACTAATATATCTTCCCTTAATTTATTAACCAAATATATAACAATATTGTCTTACCTAGCAAGAAGTAGGCTAATCTCTACAAAATGCAAATTACTGTATTAGTCAGGTTATAATGGGAACCAGCATGACACCAACATTTTCAACAATACAGAAATACAGCTAGAGTAGGTAAATGGCTGTTAAAGACACAGGAATGTGTAACTAGTCTAGTTAATTATGATAATCTCCATGGGGAAGTGGAAAAGAATCATTCCTCTGTAAGCTGTGTTTACCTGGAGTTTACCTGGAGAGAGTTCCGGGGGTCAATGCCCCCACGGCCAGGTCTGTGACCAGGCCTCCTGGTGGATCAGAGCCTGATCAACCAAGCTGTCACTGGTGGCCATAAGAGGCGACTAAAATGCTGGGAGCAAGGGGCTAATAACCCCTTCTCCTGTATAAATTTCTAAATGTAAAAAGAAAAACTTTTTTCTTTTTAATTCACCTTGCTTTGGTGAGAGAGAACCATTATGTATAAAAAAAAGATAATGTAAGATACTGGGCTAATAATCCAATAAAATCTTCTACTGAACTTTTGTTGCATTGAATATTCTCCTCAAACTTTTTTTATACAGGTGTTTTACTTAAAATATTGGTATGCATAAAATACAGTACTATAAATAATTTTGGAAAACACCAGTAAGATAAGTACATAATACTGTCTAGTGGACAATACTTGCTCTCACTTAGCACTGGTGGAAGGCTGGTTCAGTAACTGGGGAAAGTATCACTTGCAATTTGGTGAGCAAATTGAGAAAATCTTCGGAGGTAGCCACCTAAATTTTACAAGTTTTTTAATTTCTTTTAATTTATAGGAGAGCATTACAAATCTCTCTTTTCCAAGCTACATTTTTTCTCTAAATTATTTCAGCTGTGTTATGACAATCTTGTACAGTCTAACTACACTTTAATTAATGGTCTATTAAATCAACATGATGGCAAACAAAATGAGAATTCTGACTCAAAACAGAATGCAGGATGGGTCGGTAGAAACTGTTAGAAAAGAATAAGGCCCTAAACTAGTTATTAAGGAAGTTACATAGATAGATTTTAGTTTAAATGGTTCACTGAACCCAACACAAAGTTTTTTTTAACTCTTCAAATTGTTGTATTATATACCAGTAAATAGTACATATCACAGCGAAGTAATTTTTCATACCTAGTACAAGCATAGCTTACCGTAATTATGTTCTGAACTACATCCTTACCTGTTATGGTCTGGTCCAATGGCACTATACTTGTAGTCAGCCTTTATCTTGTTTGTCTGAAGAAACATGTGCAGACGGGATTTTGAATTTTCAACTGTCCAGTTACCATGAATATTTCCAGTAAGATCCACTTCTTCAGCCTGGTAAGAAAAATTAACTTGCTTTTAAAGTCAACATACTAAGATCCATTCCCATGAATTCCTGTGAATATGTAAAGCAGGGCATAGGAATGCTGTGCCATAGTCAACTTACATGTCATGAAGAATAAAAAGGCACAATACCATTACAAACAATACACAGATAACCCCCAGACAGATGAGACAAACTTCAATGTTTCAGTCTGACTTAGACCATTAACTAGTCTGTGTAACTAGTTAATGGTCCAAGTCAGATTGTAATGTTGTCGTAAATTTCAGTCTCCTATGTGTGGGTTATTTGTGTACATATGAAAATATATGGAAGAGTATGGAAGAGTATATGGAGAAAAAGAGAGAGGTTAAGAGAGTGGTGAAGCAATGTAAAAAGAGAGCAAATGAGAGAGTGGGTGAGATGTTATCAACAAATTTTGTTGAAAATAAGAAAAAGTTTTGGAGTGAGATTAACAAGTTACGGAAGCCTAGAGAACAAATGGATTTGTCAGTTAAAAATAGGAGAGGAGAGTTATTAAATGGAGAGTTAGAGGTATTGGGAAGATGGAGGGAATATTTTGAGGAATTGTTAAATGTTGATGAAGATAGGGAAGCTGTGATTTCGTGTATAGGACAAGGAGGAATAACATCTTGTAGGAGTGAGGAAGAGCCAGTTGTGAGTGTGGGGGAAGTTCGTGAGGCAGTAGGTAAAATGAAAGGGGGTAAGGCAGCCGGGATTGATGGGATAAAGATAGAAATGTTAAAAGCAGGTGGGGATATAGTTTTGGAGTGGTTGGTGCAATTATTTAATAAATGTATGGAAGAGGGTAAGGTACCTAGGGATTGGCAGAGAGCATGCATAGTTCCTTTGTATAAAGGCAAAGGGGACGAAAGAGAGTGCAAAAATTAGAGGGGGATAAGTCTGTTGAGTATACCTGGTAAAGTGTATGGTAGAGTTATTATTGAAAGAATTAAAAGTAAGACTGAGAATAGGATAGCAGATGAACAAGGAGGCTTTAGGAAAGGTAGGGGGTGTGTGGACCAGGTGTTTATAGTGAAACATATAAGTGAACAGTATTTAGATAAGGCTAAAGAGGTCTTTGTGGCATTTATGGATTTGGAAAAGGCGTATGACAGGGTGGATAGGGGGGCAATGTGGCAGATGTTGCAGGTGTATGGTGTAGGAGGTAGGTTACTGAAAGCAGTGAAGAGTTTTTACGAGGATAGTGAGGCTCAAGTTAGAGTACATAGGAAAGAAGGAAATTATTTCCCAGTAAAAATAGGCCTTAGACAAGGATGTGTGATGTCACCGTGGTTGTTTAATATATTTATAGATGGGGTTGTAAGAGAAGTAAATGCGAGGGTCTTGACAAGAGGCGTGGAGTTAAAAGATAAAGAATCACACATAAAGTGGGAGATGTCACAGTTGCTCTTTGCTGATGACACTGTGCTCTCGGGAGATTCTGAAGAGAAGTTGCAGAGATTGGTGGATGAATTTGGTAGGGTGTGCAAAAGAAGAAAATTAAAAGTGAATACAGGAAAGAGTAAGGTTATGAGGATAAGAAAAATATTAGGTGATGAAAGATTGGATATCAGATTGGAGGGAGAGAGTATGGAGGAGGTGAATGTATTCAGATATTTGGGAGTGGACGTGTCAGCGGATGGGTCTATGAAGGATGAGGTGAATCATAGAATTGATGAGGGGAAAAGGGTGAGTGGTGCACTTAGGAGTCTGTGGAGACAAAGAACTTTGTCCTTGGAGGCAAAGAGGGGAATGTATGAGAGTATAGTTTTACCAACACTCTTATATGGGTGTGAAGCATGGGTGATGAATGTTGCAGCGAGGAGAAGGCTGGAGGCAGTGGAGATGTCATGTCTGAGGGCAATGTGTGGTGTGAATATAATGCAGAGAATTCGTAGTTTGGAAGTTAGGAGGAGGTGCGGGATTACCAAAACTGTTGTCCAGAGGGCTGAGGAAGGGTTGTTGAGGTGGTACGGACATGTAGAGAGAATGGAGCGAAACAGAATGACTTCAAGAGTGTATCAGTCTAGTGGAAGGAAGGCGGGGTAGGGGTCGGCCTAGGAAAGGTTGGAGGGAGGGGGTAAAGGAGGTTTTGTGTGCGAGGGGCTTGGACTTCCAGCAGGCGTGCGCGAGCGTGTTTGATAGGAGTGAATGGAGACGAATGGTTTTTAATACTTGACGTGCTGTTGGAGTGTGAGCAAAGTAACATTTATGAAGGGGTTCAGGGAAACCGGCAGGCCGGACTTGAGTCCTGGAGATGGGAAGTACAGTGCCTGCACTCTGAAGGAGGGGTGTTAATGTTGCAGTTTAAAAACTGTAGTGTAAAGCACCCTTCTGGCAAGACAGTGATGGAGTGAATGATGGTGAAAGTTTTTCTTTTTAGGGCCACCCTGCCTTGGTGGGAATCGGCCAGTGTGATAATAAAAAAATAATAAAAAATAATGAAAATACAATAGGCATCATAACTTCCTAGCCAAATCTAGCACAGCTTCTGAGTATACATGTAATAATAAGATTAATAAACTCAAAATTTCAAAAGATTTAAAATTAAATAAAAAAATAATTACAACAATTCCTTAAATATTTTTATTTCAACAACACACTTCCTGCTACTGCTTCACAATAGTAGAGAAAGTGCTAAACCTCCTTGGGTCATTCAGTTCAAGTTCAGGTTCGGGTAGGTTCACAAGGACAGGTCTTGGCCTGGGTCTTCTCCACATGGTGACCCAGCAGTGGCTCCTTAAGAAGTGTCAGAGTTTGCACAAGTGATGTACCATTTACAGCCCTACGACAAGGGTACGGTGTTGGAGGCTTATTCCTCCATTCATTAATCACAAAACAGACAAGGTACTCCCTCAGCCAGGTTTTGATCAGAGCAATGCCTCCTGGACTACAAGTCACACCTTGCCTAAAAAATTTAATGATCTTTTAAATCTTCTTACCTAAAGAATGCCAAATAACTGATAAATGAAGGGTAATTTAAAGCAATAAAAAAGCATAACTAAACAAAAGGAAGTTAGAATATATGTATGTACTTATTACTTACTGCTTCAGTGGGATACGGCCGACTTGTTAACCCTTTGAGGGTCGACAGGCCCTCTCCGAAACTCGTTCTCAGGGTCGGCCAAATTTAAAAAAAAAAAAAAATTATTTTCTCTTATGAAAAGATAGAGAATCTTTTCCCGATAATAACGACACCAAAAGTTTGAAATTTGATAGAAAACTTACGGAATTATGCTCTCGCAAAGTTAGCGGTCTCGGCGATGTTTACGCATCGGCGATTTTGCCCACTTTGAGCCCCATTTTCGGCCAATTTCACTGTACTAGTCGACAAAAAACATGAATATTTCGCTAGAACTCCATTTTTTCTATCGAATGGGTGCAAGAAACCACCCATTTATAAATTCAACTATCCAGTACAGTGGTCAGAATTTAGCAATTTTGCCAATTTCACACAAATTTCAAAAGATGCCAATTTCGGAATAGGGTCCAGAATAAACAAGAAAGACATTCCTGGCACTAAAATGACATTTCCTCTAGTCATTAGTCACGTCTCAAGGCCCCTCTTATATTCTTTTGCTTTCCACTTTGAATTTTTATTCTCACAAAAAATATAAGATTTACTGTTATGCATTAGTGTAAAAAATGGTATAAATATTATTGGTGCACTTGTGAAAGAATATTAGACTCACCAGTTGACGTGTATTGCACGCTTGGCACGATTTGTTTACTTTTGAAGTTTGGTAAAAATCGAACATTTCTGCTACTTTGAGCTCAATTTCAAGGCACCTTTCATTGTAAAACCAGTCAAAATCATCTCAATTTCAGTAATATGTCTTCCATTCTATAAAATGAGACCAAGAAAACTAGAATACAACAATAAAAACCATACGAAAATACACTGCAAAGTCGCTGATTTATTAAAAAAAAATGGTCAAAGTTTTTTTTTTCTCATTATGCACTGTGTGCTGCAGGATTTTTTTTAGACTGTGCACACTGACCACATAGACCCATTCTTTCATATAAAGGCCTACCAGCTTTCTCCCACTAGATTTGAGGCCGCTAGAATTTATGAGTACTAGTACGTCAAAAACCCCTACGCGTAAGACGTACTAGTACGACGAAAACCCTCAAAGGGTTAAAAAAAAAAAAAATTATTACTTAGGTTTAAACTCTACATTTACATCTATAGCTTACATCTTCTATGGCTTTCCGCTCCTGTATGCGCTCCATGTAGGTCATCTGTCGACCTTCCCTCTGAATAGGATGGTAAACATTTCCTTCTTCTCTGAGGCCTGGGACAGGAGCCATTGGGGCAGAAAATTTGAACTCTTCTCCACCTCCAGAACGAGAACCATCCTCACCACCACCAGCTTCAGGCACCTACGAATCATGTTATTACGATTTCATAAGTCAGTTAACCTTTAAACTGTCCAAACGTAGATCTACGTTCGGAGCCCCCCACACGTGGACGTAGATCTACGTTTGGACAGCTTAAGGGTTAAGGAGTGCAATGAGAAATGTGATAAACCAAGCTTCATAATTTTCCATTAACCATGTGCTAATTTCAAGTACATTCTAACTAAATTCAAATATCCTGTATTTTTCATTGTAAAATTTTTTATTTTAAATAAAAAAAAGTCACAATCAGCAAAAAATTTTGTAGCAATGACAAGAATTTTAATTTGTGTAAATGATTATACAAGTACACACATGCACACTCATATAAGTCTATCTTTATTTAGTCTTCAGCTACAAACATATGTACATCATGTAGATTTAAACTAGGGTAACCCAACAAAGCTAAACAATGTGACATTTCTATTAAAGAATTTACTTAAGAGAGTTAGCAGGTGCTGAGCGTAACGTAAAATTCCCTTAATGAATGATTTCACTGAAACACATGCTGCTCATTAAACAAGGGAAAACTGACAAATTTCCATGATCTCACATTTATTCAGCCCTCCCTCTCATAAGAAAATCACACGTGTAATTAAAATAAGTCACTGACTTTTTGAGCTATCCTAGATAATTTACAACTACGTTACTATGTATGATAACTGTCCATACCCCGGCCGGGATTGAACCCGCGGTCAGAGAGTCTCAAAACTCCAGCCCGTCGCGTTAGCCACTAGACCAGCTAGCCACAATAAGATTCGTCCAACTAGGTATATTTCTACACCATAGTAAGGTTAGCACAGGCACCACTGTGACCACAAATGCAAGTTTTTACAACGAATCTCCAGCTAACGTGGCCGTGACGAACTCTAGCTCAAGTCCCCTCACTGCCGTCAACATGACTCACGAAATCATAATGACACGATTGGTTTGTTTGCAATCGTGTCATTACGATTTCGTGAGTTATGATAACTGTACTTATGTGTACCTGTCCCTAAATAAACTTGCTATCTTACCTTAAAATCTGGCAATTCATTTGACTGCACCTCTCCCTGACGGACAAGAAACTGTGCAAAATCTCTAGCAGCATTAGACTGAGCGTCTTTTTTGCAGGTCGAATTGCCAACACCAATGTAGTTGTAACCAGAAACACGTACTTCACATAAAAATCGCTGACGATATTTTGGACCTGAAAAAATATGAAATTTATTTACAATACTAAGAAAATTCCATAGAAGTTAAAAATTTCTGAATAAGATGTACAGTAATTAAGAGCACTGTATATTACTGTTAATATTATAGTGTGTTTATTTGCCATGTTATGCCAAAATTTTACAGAACAACACTCCTAGATTGCCAGGGAGAAAGACTAAAAAACAGATGACTCACTATGAAAGGCTGAAAGCACTAAAGATGCCCATGCTGGTTAATAGAAGGAAGAGGCATGAACTCATAAAAGGACATGAAAGATTAGATAGAGGATTTTTTCATACTTGCAACAGGGATAACAAGAAGCTGCAGTTGTAAACTGAGAAAAAATGGAGTTAAAGGGAAACTAGAAAATTTAGCTTTGTAGAGTAGCAGGCCAATGAAGTTTATTAAACAAGGATCTAGTAAGTGCTACAACCACTGGAAATTTAGAAAAATTAAATATCAAACAAAGTACCAATGGCTTGACACTGCAAGCATAGCTCTGCTCCAGTAGCTACAAATAGGTATTGTAATTACAAATAGGTAATTACACACAAGCTTAACCCTTAAACTGTCCAAACATAGATCTACGTTCACAAGCATAGTGCTCCAAAAGTAGATCTACGCCTTTTTACATATTTTCAAATCTTTCTTTCTTTCAACGCACCAGCCATATCCCTCTGAGGTGGGGTGGCCCAAAAGGAAAAGCGAAAATTTCGCCTTTTAAATTTAGTAATATATACAGGAGAAGGGGTTACTAGCCCCTTGCTCCTGACATTTTAGTCGCCTCTTACAACACGCATGGCTTACGGAGGAAGAATTCTGTTCCACTTCCCCATGGAGATAAGAGGAAATAGACAGGAGCAAGAACTAGAAAGAAAACAGAAGAAAACCCAGAGGGGTATGTATATATACATGTATGCTTGTACATGTATGTGTAGTGTGACCTAAGTGTAAGTAGAAGTAGCAAGACATACCCGAAATCTTGCATGTTTATGAAACAGAAAAAAGGACACCGGAAATCCTACCATCATGTAAAACAATTACAGGCTTTCGTTTTACACTCACTTGGCAGGGCGGTAGTACCTCCCTGGGCGGTTGCTGTCTACCAACCTACTACCTATGATATTTTCAAATATAACAAAAAAAAAAAAAAGTAGATCAAAGTTTTTTTTACACGCTTTCAAATGGAAAAAAAAAAAATTACTTTTTTTACATACTTTCAAATGTTGAAAAAACGTAGATCTACGTTTGAACAGTTTAAGGGTTAAACCTAAAACCCAATCTAACTATATTATTTTTTAAATACACTACCTAACAGAATACTCCATTCTACTGAATGTACAACAATGCATACAACCATATGACCTGTCTTTATAATACTCACTTGTGCTTTATAGTAATCTGTTTACATTAATGTTTTATCACTGATTTCATCATTGCTTAGTTAATCTTAAGTTAATTTTAAGCCAGCCCGTAATGCTTTGCATAGTATAAGTGGCTTTGGCATGCTGCTCTTATCTGTATTTTTTTGTACCTCTGTATGTGTGCTCAAATTTTTAAATAAATAAATAAATAAATAAATAAATAAATATTAATGCCTTCAGTGATCTGAGGTCTAAAAAAAAAAAGCCAATCCTGTAGATAAAATAGAAAATGACATTATAAATATGCATTAATACATAAGATAAAGGTTATAAGTTGTTAGCAGTTCTGGAGATAGTCTGTCTGGTCTTTGACCATGCTTCCTTAATTAGGTATCCCCAAAGGGATATCTTTAGGAGATTGCCTGATTTCTTTTTCTTCTTTGAACATTTTAATTTTATTTTGATTATAACTCGAGAATGCCTCATACAATCAGCTTTCACATTTTTAATGCTTATGTATGGTAACAACTAACAAATGCCTCTGCCTGGCTTCAAAATATTACAAACAATTTATTCCATAACAAAAATGTTATTCCACAAGTTTAGTCTGAATAGGTGCACATTTGAAATTTACTGAAATATTTAAAAAGCTTTGAATCACTGGAATCAGATCAGCTACTGAAGAATGCCTTTTCTGATTGGTTTGAAGCTTTTACCATTGATGAACTTTATTGAACCAGCTTGTTACTCACTTTGACCTGTGTAAATTTCAGTTTGCCAACTTTATTAAGAAAATTATTTCCCATTTAATAACTAGTAAATGCCTCTTCTGATCAGCTTCAAACCCTAAATAGTGGTGTATCTTAATTAGTATTTTTGTATTAATTTTGAAATGTGTGGGTGCCAATTTTGAAATGTGTGGGTGCCAGTTTTATCAAACAGGATTTTTCAAAAAGTCAAAATAAAAATTTTCTTACAGGATTCAATATTATGACTTATGAATGACTTCTGATTCCCTTCAAATCTTCAACACTAATATTTAACTGCATTATTAAATTATGCTGTTCTCTACACTATTCCAGTTTCATGCAGTAAGGCACAAGGGACTGGGATTATGGAATACAAAAAATACTTCCTTCAAATTGTACAGCAACCGAAACACAGTTGGTTGGAAAGGAAATATTACATGTCTAAGAACCACTGAGAAACACACACACAGGACAATAGTTAAGTGTATATTAAATTTAAGTAAAGGTAAAGACTTTCAATCTGGTTTACATGCTCATGAAACACTAAGAACAGAGCAGCATTACCACCAGTACCGAATTTTGAAAAGGCCTCTGTTCCATATTTATGACAGGACTGTAGTACCTTCCTGAATGGAAACTTTTTACCAAGCTACTATCTGTGATGTTCATGAAATAGAAAGGAAAAACCAGCAATGCTGCCAGAGTGCAAAACAATTTACAGGCTCCAATTTTAAACTCACATAATAAGATGGCAGAACCTCCCTGGATAGTTGCAGTTTATGCATATACATACATATATATATTTGACTCATGTGTTATATAATAAATACTCAAATATTACATAAGCAATCTACAACAGTACATCCATTACCTGAATTTCTAACTTCGAAATTTGGAGTGATTTTTTTCTTTTCACAATAGGAATGAAGCCATGACTTTATATTATCAGCCATCTTCACAATCTGAAATTTAGGAAGTTGTTTAAGGTTCTTGGTAGAAAATGAATGAATATATATAATGTCAGTTTTTCTTCATCATGCACATAAAATATACTGTTGTATTGAATACTATAAGGACTCACTAGAAATGACTCACATCTGACTTGACTGGTTTATCCTAGCTTAAATGCTACATAATATACAACACTATGCGACTATCGCAAAAATTTAAACTTATGTATGAAGTCTAAATAATAACTTACCAGGATAACTATATACAGAAGCCTGTATAGTAAACACTGTCACCATAGGCCTTCAAACCACTTTTTAGGTCTTGTGTGACTTAGACCTCTCATATAAAAAAATATCGCAACCCATATTGTGCACAACATGAAGTACAGGTCCAATATATGCTGCATTTGGCACCATGCTAAGGAAACATGATAATTTGAGTAAAAATTAAATAAAGAGGATTTTTCAAATAAAATGTTTGAAGTGTAGCATACATCTATCTCACAGGTGAAGCTGCTTCTGTAGCTCGAGCACTAGCGCACTCAGCTCACACACTGAGGTCCGGAGTTCGACTCTCCTCCGGTATGGCTGGAAAACATGTTTCCGTAAGACACCTGCTGTCCCTGTTCACCCACCAGAGTAAAACGGGTACCTGGTGTGGGTCGCATCCTGGGACAAAACTGACCTAATTTGCGGGAAATGCTCAGCATAACAAGTGGTTTTCTATATAGTAGTATGTCATTGATGTCAGCTATGGTCTGTATACCTTGTACTTGCACTCGTAGTAAATAAAGATATGATAAGATGCGGTGAATATAATTTTGAGAGATTTTTGCAAAATTCAAAAGGGTTAATAATGGAAGGTTACCCAAGTAAGCCAAGAAATGTGATTTATTGAAAGGGGCAGGGGAATAAGTAAGTTTAGTAGGTATATTTATGTACAGGTACACATAAGTACAATAATCATACATAGTGTAAATTACCCAGGATAACCCCAAAAATAGTCAAAGTGACTTATTTCCACTAGGGTCCTTGGGAAGTTGTTTCAATAAAAGTGGGTAAGTAAATCCAATTCCTTGAATCAAGAGCTCTCCACCAGCATCAGGTATGACCTAAGCTATTCAAATTCAAGTCTCTTCTCAAAGATCACTTACTCACCCAAAACCAAATAAATACTGAATAACTGAACCTTATAAATTGTATATTTTAAATGTTTCTCACAATTATATCACATAAATGTTAAACCTAAAACCCAATCTAACAGAATATTCCATTCTAGTGAATGTACAGCAATGCAAGCAACCATATGACCTGTCTTTGTAATACTCATTTGTGCTTTATAGTTATCTGTTTACATTAATGATTTATCACTGATTTCATCATTGCTTAGTTAATCTTAAGTTAATTTTAAGCCAGCCCGTAATGCTATGCATATAAGTGGCTTTGGCATGCTGCTCTTACCTGTATTTTTTTGTACCTCTGTATGTATGCTAAAATTACTAAATAAATAAATAAATAAAAGCTATGTGTACCTTAAACTACACATTCCTCTACATACACATAACTACCAACTTAACATGAATAATAAAAAAGAAGCGCTAAACCCACTAGGATCTAAACTTAAAAATGAAGCCGGAAACAACAGGTGAACAACTGAACAAGTACCAATATGTACTTTATTCAAGGACCAAAATACAAATGTCACCTTTTTTTTTTTTGGTTATCCCAGGTAATTTATGCATGTTACTATGTATAATAACTGTATTTATGTATACCTATATAAATTAACTGACTGTTAACCCACAAGGGTTTATATAATAAAGCCAGACTAACTTGCTGTTTCAGGTTATCTTGGGTTACCAATCACTCACAATTAACAATTCCAACAAAATTCTTCTCCTGGACTAAGACAACGTCGGCATGATGCCCATTAAAAGTTTACAACTATAACACAAATCAAATATTTACCTCTTAATGTGAGTGTTGTGGGAGAGTAACAACTGAGCAGCAGTCAACTACCATCCACTCTACACTACTACTCTTATTCTCCCCTTTTATCACCAACCTTATATAACTCTACATTATTATTATTATTACTATTGTTATTGGTATTATTATTATTATTATTGTTATTATTATTATATGTCCTGTTTCCTGACCAACCTTACATAGCCTAACATTATTATTATTACTATTGTTATTGGCATTATTATTATTATTATTATTATTATATGTCCTGTTTCCTGACCAACCTTACATAGCCTAACATTATTATTATTACTATTATTACTGGTATTATTATTATTATTATTATTATTATTATTATTATTATATGTCCTGTTTCCTGATCGACCTTACATAACCTAACATTATTATTTTTATTATTATTATTATTATTATTATTATTATTATTATTATTATTATTATGTTCTGTTTCCTGACGAACCTTACATAACCTATTATTATTATTTTTTATTATTATTTTTATATTATTATTATATATATATTAACCACAACTTACATAACCAGTATGATTATTATAATTATTATTATATAACAAATGGCACACTGAACAGGTTATAATTATATTCGCATGGGGGGAGATGAAAGATGATTAGACTCAATTAGGGACGTGGGAAGAGATTCCAATCCAATCAAGAACCCCTCCACCCAGCGTCAAGTGGAACCTCCCTTGAGGGACATAGGAGAGAGGAGCTTACGACAACGTAAATGTTCCAAGTCCGACTGAAACGTCGTCGTAAGCTCCTCTCTCCTACGTGCGGGTTATCTATGTATTGTTCCCCCCTCAAGGAAGGTTCCTTGATGTTGGTGAGGGGCTCTTGGTTTAGGGAATTGGATCTGTGCTCTAGTTCCCCGAATTAAGCCTGAATGCCTTCCACATCCCCCCCCCCCAGGCGCTGTATAATCCTCCAGGTTTAGCGCTTCCCCCTTGATTATAATAATAATAATAATAATATGTATTCTTCCAGTCACGGTATTGTGCCTTTTTGTTTATTTATTATTTATCATAACTAAGCACTAAACCCACAAGGGTCATTCTACACAACAAACTATTTCAATTTATTTATTTCAACTTGATACATTTTCTTTTAATTTTAGCAAATTGCATATAGATGCAGATGTTGACGTGCACATATATATATATAAGAACATAAGAAAGAAGTAGCATTGCAGCAGGCCTACTGGTCCATGCTAGGCAGGTCCAAGTCACCTACTGGCCTAAGCTAGTCAGGTCCAAGTCACACCCACTCATGTACTTGATAACCTATTTTTAAAACTACATAATGTCTTAGCTTCAGTGATGATACTCAGGAGTTTGTTCCACTCATCCACAACTCTATTACCAGATCAGTCCTTTCCTATATTCTTTCTGAATCTAAATTTTTCTAACTTGAAATCATTGCTCAGTCATATCTCCCTAATATCCACCTGGAAATCATTGCTCAGTCATATCCCCACTAATTCTATGCCTTCTAGACAGTGCATATTCAGGGCCCTCAGTCTGTCCTCATAGGAAAGATTTCTGATATACTGGATCAACTTTGTCATCCTCCTTTGTATGTTTTCCAGTGCATTTATATCCACTCTGTTATTATAAACAAAACCTAGCACTAAACCAACTGGGATATCCATTCTGTAATACAGTGACCAGAACTGTGCAGCATAATCTAAATGAGGCCTAACCAATGATAATATAAAGTTGAAGAACAGCCTGAGGACTTCAGTTATTTATACTTCATGATACGAAGCCAAAAATTCTATTCGCTTTATTGCAAACATATATTTATGCACTGTTGTCTTGGTTTTAGATTACTGATAATCAGAAGTGTCATGGTTATTTTCCTGTCCAACACTTAGAACTTTGCAGTTGTTAATGTTAAATTGCATCTGCCATTTCTCCGACCGCTGCATCAATCTATTCAGATCTTCCTGAAGCGCTCTAGTGTCCTCATCAGAATGAATTTGGCGACCTATTTTGGTGTCATTGGCAAACTTGCTTATGTCGCTGTTTATGCCCTCATCTATGTCGTTTATGTAAACTGTGAACAACAAAGGGCCCATCACTGACCTCTGTGGAGCACCGCTTGTGACACGTCCCCACTCTGATATCTCCCCATTTATGCAAACTCCCTGTTGCCTATCTGTCAGCCATGCCTCTATCCAGGAAAAAAATCTCTCCTCATATTCTATGTGCCTCAACTTTCCAAACTATTATTATAATCATGGGGGAACATTAAACCTGTAGGGATTTAGTGCTCCCCCATGATTATAATAATAATAATAATAATAATAATGAGGAGGGAAGGATGGAAGGTATTCAGGCTTAATTCAGGTAACTGGAGCACAGATCCAATTCCCTAAATCAAGAGCCCCTCACCAGCATCAAGGAACCTCCCTCGAGGGGTCAACTTTCCTCAATAGCCTCTGATGTGGAACTTATCAAAAGCTTTACTTTAGTTCATATATGTACACAATATCATATTCATTACCATTATCTACCTCCTCAAATACCTAGTGAAAAAAGTTAATAAATTTGTAAGGCAAGAACACCCCTTTGTAAAACTGTGCTGAGATTCAATAATCAATTTATGTCTTTCAAGGTGGTTTTAAATAGCCTTGGCAATTATAGATTCCATCAAACACATACATGACAGTGTCATCCATTGAAGATGCTGCAAATCTCTAAGCAGACTTCAACCAAATCTTTAACTGGGCCACAGAAAAACAATATGAAGCTCAATGAAGACAAATTTCAATTACTCTGCTATGAAAAACTCAAGGAAATTAAAACTCTGCAGCCAATGCTTGTATGGCAAATCTAAGAATAGCCTTCAAGAATCTCAAGAAAGTCATTTAAGGCCCTCTCTTTATACAACATATGTCAGGCCTATCTTGCAGTATGTAGCACCTGCATGAAACTCACACCTGAAAAAGCATATTGAGAAACTGGAGAAAGTGTAGAGATGTGTAATGAGACTTAAGAGCTAAGGAGGTATGAGCTTAAATTATTATTATAATCAAAAAGAAGCGCTAAGCCACAAGGACTATACAGCATATGAGCTTAAAGGAAAGGCTAATGAAACTGAATCTAACAGCACTGGGGGACAGAAAGTGGAAACATAAAATACAAACTACTCAGGAATTCATAATGCAAACACGGATAAGCACAGCTGGTAGTTTGACACAAATGAGTGACAGGGATGTCAGGAAATATTTTTTGCCTCAGGGTGGTCAGGAAGTAGAATGACCTTAACTAGAAGTGGTGGAGGTAGGCTCTATACATAGTTTTAAGAGCAGGTATAACAGAACCCATAAAGTTAAGTGGCTCTGGCAAGCAGTAAGTTGAAAGGCAAGGCCAGGAGCTAGAATTCGACCCTTGCAATCATATATATGTGAGTACAAAGCCCACCATCTGACTGCAAAGAATGATTCATAAGAAGCTGATTCAGTCAAGGTCAGCACCAAACCTTCCATTTTACCTAGAGTATGTTCACTCTCCAATGAGTCACAGTTCCAGGGCCAAGATCAACCTCCAGGTAAGCAGAAAGTAGTACGTACTGTAACATAAGGATAACCCTGCACAGCTATCACATGGGGCCAGCATTTGGTAATCTTTTTCAGGCCACAGCCTCCCTGAAGGTAGTAGTAGTCACTGTAGCCAAATGCTTCAACAGACTGCAATTCCATAGTGTAGTGTGCCCTCAAGAAAATTTGAAAAAAAAAACAGAAAAGGCCAAACCACAGTAAACACCAAGAACATAGTAATACATCTTATGGAATTCAAACAAACTTGGAAAATAAATTTTAATTAGGGTATAAAAAATTCAAGTTCATTTAAATGTTTGTACGTATACACTAATGGCAAACTGTTTTTATTCCTTTCACTCAAATGTTACTGCAGACCCAGTATAAAAAAGTGTCATTAACCTCTCAGTATAAAATGTCATTGTAGCACTTCATTGTAAAAATATAACTGTAGCACTTGAGCATAAAAAGTATCATAAACTCCTCAGAATAAAAATATCAAAGGACATCTGATAAAGGTAAACAAACTACTGTAATGTATTTATAATATAATGAATGATTTATTTTCAATTTTTATACATACTAGCTTAATGTATTATCTTTTTAACACATCAACCATTTCCCACCAAGGCAGGGTGACCCAAAGAATTAAAATGTGTACATTGTAAATCACTCATTCTCTAGCTTTATTTCCAGAAATGCAAAGACATCACAATTGAAATGACCCTTTGAACTGCAACATCTTCACCCAACATTTAGAGTGAAAGTACTATGTTTTCCATTTCCAGAACTAAAGTCTGGCTGGTTAACCAGTTTCCCAATTTCCCTTCAAAGATATTTTCTTGCTCACACTCTACAAGCACATTAAATCTCAATCCATTAAATCTCCACACATACCAATCTAACATGATGACACATGCCTGCTGGATGTTTATGTCCCCACTCCCCTAACACTAATGACCTTGACACCCTCCTTCCAACCATTCCTGGAATGTTTGCTAAACCTTCCATCTACCCCAGATTTACATACTCTCTTCATCAACCCAATTTGCTCCATTCTTTCCAAATTACCAAAATCCTCTTGACAAACTCTCCTCCACTATCTGGATTATATCTTTCATACTATTACATTGTCCTCTAACTTTTTCACTCTTTATTCTTTGTTTAATACTCATACCAGACACTGATCTCAAATACAACATCTCCACTGCCTCCAGCCTCCTCCTTGCTCCATTTCTAAACTAAATCTGCATTAATATTATCCACTTATTACACAGCTTGCACACCACTAAGATTATAAACAAAAATATTTGTTTCAATGATTTGTAAACTAAATCATCATAAAACAAATGTTTTGCTAGAAAATACAGTAAACACTCAATACATTATACAGATGCTACCCTACTTACGAACATTTGAGTTACAAACATTCGGACATACGAACAGACTGCCGTGTTGTTAAAGTTAGTTAAAGAAGTTTTTTATTACAGTATTTATTATTAAAATATGCTTTAGTACATATTAAGAACCATACATTATTGATACTGTACAGTACTGTCTTTAAGTTTTCAATGAACAATGGCACAGAGAGAGAGAACAATAATAATAATGATAATATTAAAAATAACAATAATAATCATAACAATAGGAAAATGGAAAATAACAACTTACAAACAATTCAAGATACAAACAGCCTTCTGGAACATACCATGTTCGTAAGTTGGGGGCGTCTGTATATATGCTTGGCCAATTGAGATAGTCAACACTTTCAAATAAAATTATGATAATTTCTAAGTACAAACAAATTTAACACAAATTTTCAGCAATTTATTGTGAGATATTAGTATAGTATATAATTTTTAGATGTTATGAAATTTTACACACAAAAAATAAGATTTAGTTCTTGACCTATACAAGATGTGAACCAGTATAAAACATATCTCCTGTGATAGGAGTATTTATCAACACTTTAAAATTCATTAAATTTTGAGGAAAATCTGACTGATAGTTTCCAGAATTTATTTCTGGGTGCTAATGAAGTCTTAGTTATTCCTAACAATATTTAGTTAGTCTGAGCCAGGTTTTCTTCTTTTACCATCTCAACATCACCACTTGCCAACCCACTGTTGTTGCTGTGACCTTCGCTCAACACTCCAGTCTCATCTCCAGAATCATCTGTGGAGAAAAATTAATGCAAGTTTTATTTGTCAATATGCAATGAGAATTATACAGGGACAGCAGGGAATGGGGATACTGAGTACCTGAAGTTGTGTGACATGACCCAGTGAAATACAGTCAATAAGGAGAGCAGATGATAGAGTGGGAGAGGCACTGTCAAGAAATTTTAATGAAAATAAGAAAAATTTTTGGAGTTAAACAAGTTAAGAAAGCCTAGGGAAAGTATGGATTTGTCAGTTAAAAACAGAGTAGGGGAGTTAGTAGATGGGGAGAGGGAGGTATTAGGTAGATGGCGAGAATATTTTGAGGAACTTTTAAATCTTGAGGAAGAAAGGGAGGCAGTAATTTCATGCACTGGCCAGGGAGGTATACCATCTTTTAGGAGTGAAGAAGAGCAGAATGTAAGTGTGGTGGAGGTACGTGAGGCATTACGTAGAATGAAAGGGGGTAAAGCAGCTGGAACTGATGGGATCATGACAGAAATGTTAAAAGCAGGGGGGGATATAGTGTTGGAGTGGTTGGTACTTTTGTTTAATAAATGTATGAAAGAGGGGAAGGTACCTAGGGATTGGCGGAGACCATGTATAGTCCCTTTATATAAAGGGAAAGGGGACAAAAGAGATTGTAAAAATTATAGAGGAATAAGTTTACTGAGTACCTGGAGTTTACCTGGAGAGAGTTCCGGGGGGTCAACGCCCCCGTGGCCCGGTCTGTGACCAGGCCTCCTGGTGGATCAGAGCCTGATCAACCAGGCTGTTGCTGCTGGCTGCACGCAAACCAACGTACGAGCCACAGCCCGGCTGGTCACGAACCGACTTTAGGTGCTTGTCCAGTGCCAGCTTGAAGACTGCCAGGGGTCTGTTGGTAATCCCCCTTATGTATGCTGGGAGGCAGTTGAACAGTCTCGGGCCCCTGACACTTATTGTATGGTCTCTTAACGTGCTAGTGACACCCCTGCTTTTCATTGGGGGGATGTTGCATCGTCTGCCAAGTCTTTTGCTTTCGTAGTGAGTGATTTTCGTGTGCATGTTCGGTACTAGTCCCTCTAGGATTTTCCAGGTGTATATAATCATGTATCTCTCCCGCCTGCGTTCCAGGGAATACAGGTTCAGGAACCTCAAGCCCTCCCAGTACCTGAGGTGTTTTATCTCTGTTATGCGCGCCCTGAAGGTTCTCTGTACATTTTCTAGGTCAGCAATTTCACCTGCCTTGAAAGGTGCTGTTAGTGTGCAGCAATATTCCAGCCTAGATAGAACAAGTGACCTGAAGAGTGTCATCATGGGCTTGGCCTCCCTAGTTTTGAAGGTTCTCATTATCCATCCTGTCATTTTTCTAGCAGAAGTGATTGATACAATGTTATGGTCCTTGAAGGTGAGATCCTCCAACATGATCACTCCCAGGTCTTTGACGTTGGTGTTTCGCTCTATTTTGTGGCCAGAATTTGTTTTGTACTCTGATGAAGATTTAATTTCCTCGTGTTTACCATATCTGAGTAATTGAAATTTCTCATCGTTGAACTTCATATTGTTTTCTGCAGCCCACTGAAAGATTCGGTTGATGTCCGCCTGGAGCCTTGCAGTGTCTGCAATGGAAGACACTGTCCTGCAGATTCGGGTGTCATCTGCAAAGGAAGACACGGTGCTGTGGCTGACATCCTTGTCTATGTCGAATATGAGGATGAGGAACAAGATGGGAGCGAGTACTGTGCCTTGTGGAACAGAGCTTTTCACCGTAGCTGCCTCGGACTTTACTCTGTTGACGACTACTCTCTGTGTTCTGTTAGTGAGGAAATTATAGATCCATCGACCGACTTTTCCTGTTATTCCTTTAGCACGCATTTTGTGCGCTATTACGCCATGGTCACACTTGTCGAAGGCTTTTGCAAAGTCTGTATATATTACATCTGCATTCTTTTTATCTTCTAGTGCATTTAGGACCTTGTCGTAGTGATCCAATAGTTGAGACAGACAGGAGCGACCTGTTCTAAACCCATGTTGCCCTGGGTTGTGTAACTGATGGATTTCTAGATGGGTGGTGATCTTGCTTCTTAGGACCCTTTCAAAGATTTTTATGATATGGGATGTTGTGCTATCGGTCTGTAGTTCTTTGCTGTTGCTTTACTGCCCCCTTTGTGGAGTGGGGCTATGTCTGTTGTTTTTAGTAACTGTGGGATGACCCCCGTGTCCATGCTCCCTCTCCATAGGATGGAAAAGGCTCGTGATAGGGGCTTCTTGCAGTTCTTGATGAACACGGAGTTCCATGAGTCTGGCCCTGGGGCAGAGTGCATGGGCATGTCATTTATCGCCTGTTCGAAGTCATTTGGCGTCAGGATAACATCGGATAGGCTTGTTAACCAAATTTTGTGGCTCTCTCATAAAAAATTAATTTTGATCTTCGACTCTCAGTCTAGTTAGCAGCTTGCTAAAAACTGAGTCATATTGGGACTTGAGTAGCTCACTCATTTCCTTGCTGTCATCTGTGTAGGACCCATCTTGTTTAAGTAGGGGCCCAATACTGGATGTTGTTCTCGACTTTCATTTGGCATAGGAGAAGAAATACTTTGGGTTTCTTTCGATTTCATTTATGGCTTTTAGTTCTTCCCGCGATTCCTGACTCCTATAAGATTCCTTTAGCTTGAGTTCGATGCTTGCTATTTCTCTGACCAGTGTCTCCCTACACATTTCAGATATATTGACCTCTTTTAGCCGCTCTGTTATTCTTTTCCGTTGCCTGTAAAGGGAGCGCCTGTCTCTTCTATTTTACATCTACTCCTTCTTTTTCTTAGAGGAATAAGCCTTGTGCATACATCGAGTGCCACCAAGTTAATCTGTTCTAAGCATACGTTGGGGTCTGTGTTGCTTAGTATATCTTCCCAGCTTATATCGGTTAGGACTTGGTTTACTTGGTCCCACTTTGTTTTTGTTATTGAAGTTGAATTTGGTGAATGCTCCCTCGTGACTAGTCTCATTATGTCGGTCTGGGGCTCCATGCATACATGTCTGAACCTCAATTATGTTGTGATCTGAGTATATTGTTTTTGATATGGTGACATTTCGTATCAGATCATCATTGTTAGTGAAGATGAGGTCTAGTGTATTCTCCAGTCTAGTAGGCTCTATTATTTGCTGGTTTAAATTGAATTTTGTGCAGAGATTTAAAAGCTCGTGTGAGTGTGAGTTTTCATCAGAGCTGCCTCCTGGTGTTATTACTGCAACAATATTATTTGCTATATTCCTCCATTTTAGGTGCCTTAAGTTGAAATCCCCCAGGAGGAAGACGTTGGGTGCAGGAGCTGGAAGATTTTCCAGACAGTGGTCAATTTTTAACAGCTGTTCCTGGAATTGCTGGGATGTTGCATCCGGAGGCTTGTAGACTACCACAATGACTAGGTTTTGGTTCTCGACCTTTACTGCTAAAACTTCCACTACATCATTTGAGGCATTTAGCAGTTCTGTGCAAACAAGTGACTCTGCAATGTACAGGCCAACCCTCCCCCCCCCCCCTTTTGCCTGTTCACTCTGTCACATGTGTATAGGTTGAAACCTGGGATCCATATTTCGTTGTCCAAGTGATCCTTTATGTGGGTCTCAGTGAAAGCCGCGAACATTGCCTTTGCCTCTGCAAGCAGGAAAAGTATACGGTAGGGTTATAACTGAAAGAATTAGAGGTAAGACAGAATGTAGGATTGCGGGAGCAGGGAGGCTTCAGAGTGGGTAGGGGATGTGTAGATCAAGTGTTTACATTGAAGCATATATGTGAACAGTATTTAGATAAAGATAGGGAAGTTTTTATTGCATTTATGGATTTAGAAAAGGCATATGATAGAGTGGATAGAGGAGCAATGTGGCAGATGTTGCAAGTATATGGAATAGGTGGTAAGTTACTAAATGCTGTTAAGAGTTTTTATGAGGATAGTGAGGCTCAGGTTAGGGTGTGTAGAAGAGAGGGAGAATACTTCCCGGTAAAAGTAGGTCTTAGACAGGGATGTGTAATGTCACCATGGTTGTTTAATATATTTATAGATGTGGTTGTAAAAGAAGTAAATGCTAGGGAGTTCAGGAGAGGGGTGGGATTAAATTATGGGGAATCAAATTCAAAATGGTAATTGACACAATTACTTTTTGCTGATGATACTGTGCTTATTGGAGATTCTCAAGAAAAATTGGAAAGGTTAGTGGATGAGTTTGGGAATGTGTGTAAAGGTAGAAAGTTGAAAAGTGAACATAGAAAAGAGTAAGGTGATGAGGGTATCAAATGATTTAGATAAAGAAAAATTGGATATCAAATTGGGGAGGAGGAGTATGGAAGAAGTGAATGTTTTCAGATACTTGGGAGTTGACGTGTCGGCGGATGGATTTATGAAGGATGAGGTTAATCATAGAATTGATGAGGGAAAAAAGGTGAGTGGTGTGTTGAGGTATATGTGGAGTCAAAAAACGTTATCTATGGAGGCAAAGAAGGGAATGTATGAAAGTATAGTAGTACCAACACTCTTATATGGATGTGAAGCTTGGGTGGTAAATGCAGCAACGAGGAGACGGTTGGAGGCAGTGGAGATGTCCTGTCTAAGGGCAATGTGTGCGTGAGTGTGTTAGATAGGAGTGAATGGAGACGAATGATACTTGGGACCTGACGATCTGTTGGAGTGTGAGCAGGGTAATATTTAGTGAAGGGATTCAGGGAAACCAGTTATTTTCATATAGTCGGACTTGAGTCCTGGAAATGGGAAGTACAATGCCTGCACTTTAAAGGAGGGGTTTGGGATATTGGCAGTTTGGAGGGATATGTTGTGTATCTTTATACGTATATGCTTCTAGACTGTTGTATTCTGAGCACCTCTGCAAAAACAGTGATAGTGTGTGAGTGTGGTGAAAGTGTTGAATGATGATGAAAGTATTTTCTTTTTGGGGATTTTCTTTCTTTTTTGGGTCACCCTGCCTCGGTGGGAGACGGCCGACTTGTTGAAAAAAAAAAAAATAATAATGACACGTGCAACACCTGGATATCTTTAGTCTTAAGACGTTTTAAACAAACAATGGCTTTATCAATTCAATACAGAGGTGTAGAAACTGGAAAGAGTAGAAGACAAGGTAATCAGTGCATCAGCCTAGATAATGATGCTCCCCACCATAGTCTTGATGAATCTTCTAGGCTAAGGGACTGATTACCTCATCTACTACTGTCTCCAGTGTCTATGCCTCCATAAAACTCTGTGTTTATTGATAAAACCACTGTTTGGTGAAACATCTTCAGAATAAAAATACCCAGGTGTTGCTTGTGTCTTATTCATTGTGTAAGTATTGTACACCTTTACTACTGCCATACAATAATGCATGTTAATGAAATGGCTACAGCTTGACTGTGCTTACAAAAGCAATGGCAAAACTGGAGGAAAGCTTTTATTAACCCAAATAAAAAAAGTGTGTTTGCCTTTAGATAAATAATACCTGTTAAATGCTAAACCCATCTGGGTCATTCAGCACAAGATGTGGTGGAAGCTTGGTCCTGAGTCTGCTGAGTGCAAGACAGGCACCCTTCCTATCTATACCCACCCATGTGGTGGTTTGCCCTTAGAAAAAGTAGCATGATGCCTCCCAACCTAAAAAATGAATTTGGGATACATGATATGATACTGTCCAGTGGTGTCATGCCTTTCTATTGTCTCTCTAGTTATACAAAAAACAGACATAACACAGCATTCATCAAAGGTAAAGTGAATAAATTAAGACAGAGTTATAAGGTATGTGGTATATTATTACTATTTTTTTTTATATTTTAAACACACTGAGATAGGGTGACAAAAAAAGAAGAAAACACTTTCACCATCACTCACTCCATCTAAAAGACTCTCTTGACATTTAACTGTTCAGTGATGATTTTTTTTTTTTAACAAATAACTTCCTGGTAATAATGTTTGAAGTTTTTAGAAGTCTTCAGGATTCATACAAATTATTATTTTATAAGACTGTATTTGAAAGTATTTTCTTTTTAGGGATTTTCTTTCTTTTTGGGTCACCCTGCCTTGGTGGGAGACGGCCGACTTGTTGAGAGAGAGAGAAAAAAAAAAACTGTCATTTGATAGGGTCCCTTAATACTTCCTAGCTCACTGCTCAAGTTAAATTTTACTGAAGCTAAGAGATAATGTGCTGGGCCATAGTTCTTATTTACAATTTTATTACCTGGTCCATCATCTGTTCTCATTCTCTTCATTGGTGGTGAAGGTGTGCTTACATCTCCTATAACAATTTTTTCTAATTTGTAGCGGCCTGCATTCATGCAGCACAACTGGAGAATGCAGTTCATGACCTAAAAATATTCATAATGTAAGTAATGACAAAATGTATAGCCATTTAAAAATAATTTTTCAATTTCCACCCACTTAGAAATAGTATTTCAAGTACAATAAAATTATTGCTTCTTACCACTTTTTAATATTAATAAAATATATTAGAGCCTCAAATGGATTATTGTGTGTACGGGCTCTGATAACCTGCCTGGAATAAATTACTGTTTTTAAAAAGGAACCCTTTCATTTTTCTTTTTAGGTCACCCTGCCTTGGTGGGATATAGCTGGTGCACTGAGAAAAAAAATAGTATAAATGTACTGAATTTTTAAATGCAACTAACTTGTTCATCTTTATATGTGGGTTTAGTTATACTCTCAGGGTTAACTACTGATCTTGCAACAAGGCTCTCCAACGATGGTCTCAGTGTTAAGATCTTGGCTGCATGCTCAGCTTGGAAATCTATTTCAAGCCATCCATCCAAACGAACCTGTTTAAAAGATAAAACAAGAGAGTCAACACTAATAAGCACGCATCACTCTTGAAGTGGTTTGAACATTTAGAGAGGATGGAATGAAACAGAATGACTTGGAGAGTGCATAAATCTATAGTGGAAGGAAGGCAGGGCAGGAGTCAGCCTAGGAAAGGTTGGAGGGAGGGGGTAGAGGAGGTTTTGTGTGCAAAGGGCTTGGTGTGTGTGAGCATGTTAGATAGGAGCGAGTGGAGACAAGTGATTTTTATGACTTGACGTGCCGTTGGAGTGTGAGCAAAGTAACATTTATGAAGGGATTCAGGGAAACTGGCAAGCCAGACTTGAGTCCTGGAGGTAGGAAGTACAGTGTCTGCACTCTGAAGGAGGGATGTTGATGTTGCAGTTTTTTGACGTTTGTGTAGGCACACCTCTGGCAAAACAGTGATTGAGTGAATGATGATGATGAAAGTCTTTCTTCTTTTTTGGGTCACCCTGCCTTGGTGGGAAATGGCCAATGTGTTAATAAAAAAAAAATTAAGTTGCAGCCTCTCTATTGAACTACAGTGCTACTTTCTTACAAAAGCAAATTCCACTGTTAAAAACATAGGTGCTACTTTGCTAACAATAAACAGTTAATAAAACTGACAGGACAGAAAAACCACTCTAAACAATGTAGTAATACCAACTCAACAAAAGTTATAGTATGCCCCTAAAATTAGAAAGGTGGATGAGTGTTCTATAATATTCTACCCAAGCAAAAAAGAAGTGAGACATATTAAGTACAGTACATTACGATGAGCATACTTACAAGACCCTCCTTAGCTTCTACACGTCTGCATCCAAACAGTATCAGGTGAATTGGAGTCACCATTGTCATTCGCTTACAGGACACAGTTTGAGAACAAATCTAGAAAAAATATCAGTTATTAATTTTTTTTTTTTTCAACAAGTCGGCAGTCTCCCACCGAGGCAGGGTGACCCAAAAAAGAAAGAAAATCCCCAAAAAGAAAATACTTTCATCATCATTCAACACTTTCACCACACTCACACATTATCGCTGCTTTAGCAGAGGTGCTCAGAATACAAAAGCTTAGAAGCATATACGTATAAAGATACACAACATATCCCTCCAAACTGCCAATATCCCAAACCCCTCCTTTAAAGTGCAGGCATTGTACTTCCCATTTCCAGGACTCAAGTCCGACTATATGAACATAACCGGTTTCCCTGAATCCCTTCACTAAATATTACCCTGCTCACACTCCAACAGATCGTCAGGTCCCAAGTATCATTCGTCTCCATTCACTCCTATCTAACACGCTCATGCACACTTCCTGGAAGTCCAAGCCCCTAGCCCACAAAACCTCCTTTACCCCCTCTTTCCAACCCTTTCGAGGACGACCCCTACCCCTCCTTCCTTCCCCTATAGATTTATATGCTTTCCATGTCATTCTACTTTGATCCATTCTCTCTAAATGACCAAACCACCTCAACAACCCCTCTTCTGCCCCCTGACTAATGCTTTTATTAACTCCACACCTTCTCCTAATTTCCACACTCTGAATTTTCTGCATAATATTTACACCACACATTGCCCTTAGACAGGACATCTCCACTGTCTTCAACCATCTCCTCGCTGCTGCATTTACCACCCAAGCTTCACATCCATATAAGAGTGTTGGTACTACTATACTTTCATACATTCCCTTCTTTGCCTCCATAGATAACGTTTTTTGACTCCACATATACCTCAACGCACCACTCACCTTTTTTCCCTCATCAATTCTATAATTAACCTCATCCTTCATAAATCCATCCGCCGACAAGTCAACTCCCAAGTATCTGAAAACATTCACTTCTTCCATACTCCTCCTTCCCAATTTGATATCCAATTTTTCTTTACCTAAATCATTTGATACCCTCATCACCTTACTCTTTTCTATGTTCACTTTCAACTTTCTACCTTTACACACATTCTCAAACTCATCCACTAACCTTTGCAATTTATCTTTAGAATCTCCCATAAGCACAGTATCATCAGCAAAAAGTAACTGTGTCAATTCCCATTTTGAATTTGATTCCCCATAATTTAATCCCACCCCTCTCCCAAACACCCTAGCATTTACTTCTTTTACAACCCCATCTATAAATATATTAAACAACCATGGTGACATTACACATCCCTGTCTAAGACCTACTTTTACCGGGAAGTATTCTCCCTCTCTTCTACACACCCTAACCTGAGCCTCACTATCCTCATAAAAGCTCTTTACAGCATTTAGTAACTTACCACCTATTCCATATACTTGCAACATCTGCCACATTGCTCCTCTATCCACTCTATCATATGCCTTTTCTAAATCCATAAATGCAATAAAAACTTCCCTACCTTTATCTAAATACTGTTCACATATATGTTTCAATGTAAACACTTGATCTACACATCCCCTACCCACTCTGAAGCCTCCCTGCTCATCCGCAATCCTACATTCTGTCTTACCTCTAATTCTTTCAATTATAACCCTTCCGTATACTTTTCCTGGTATACTCAGTAAACTTATTCCTCTATAATTTTTACAATCTCTTTTGTCCCCTTTCCCTTTATATAAAGGAACTATACATGCTCTCCGCCAATCCCTAGGTACCTTCCCCTCTTTCATACATTTATTAAACAAAAGTACCAACCACTCCAACACTATATCCCCCCCTGCTTTTAACATTTCTGTCATGATCCCATCAGTTCCAGCTGCTTTACCCCCTTTCATTCTACGTAATGCCTCACGTACCTCCACCACACTTACATTCTGCTCTTCTTCACTCCTAAAAGATGGTATACCTCCCTGGCCAGTGCATGAAATTACCGCCTCCCTTTCTTCCTCAACATTTAAAAGTTCCTCAAAATATTCTCGCCATCTACCTAATACCTCCCTGTCCCCATCTACTAACTCCCCTTCTCTGTTTTTAACTGACAAATCCATACTTTCCCTAGGCTTTCTTAACTTGTTTAACTCACTCCAAAATTTTTTCTTATTTTCATTAAAATTTCTTAACAGTGCCTCTCCCACTCTTTCATCTGCTCTCCTTTTGCACTCTCTCACCACTCTCTTCACCTTTCTTTTACTCTCCATATACTCTGCTCTTCTTATAACACTTCTGCTTTGTAAAAACCTCTCGTAAGCTACCCTTTTCTCTTTTATCACACCCTTTACTTCATCATTCCACCAAGCACTCCTCTTTCCTCCTGCCCCCACCCTCCTATAACCACAAACTTCTGCCCCACATTCTAATACTGCATTTTTAAAACTATTCCAACCCTCTTCAACCCCCCCACTACTCATCTTTGCACTAGCCCACCTTTCTGCCAATAGTCGCTTATATCTCACCCGAACTTCCTCCTCCCTTAGTTTATACACTTTCACCTCCCTCTTACTTGTTGTTGCCACCTTCCTCTTTTCCCATCTACCTCTTACTCTAACTGTAGCTACAACTAAATAATGATTCGATATATCAGTTGCCCCTCTATAAACATGTACATCCTGGAGCCTACCCATCAACCTTTTATCCACCAATACATAATCTAACAAACTACTTTCATTACGTGCTACATCATACCTTGTATATTTATTTATCCTCTTTTTCATAAAATATGTATTACTTATTACCAAATTTCTTTCTACACATAGCTCAATTAAAGGCTCCCCATTTACATTTACCCCTGGCATCCCAAATTTACCTACTACTCCATCTATAACATTTTTACCTACTTTAGCATTGAAATCCCCAACCACCATTACTCTCACACTTGATTCAAAACTCCCCACGCATTCACTCAACAGTTCCCAGAATCTCTCTCTCTCCTCTACACTTCTCTCTTCTCCAGGTGCATACATGCTTACTATAACCCACTTTTCACATCCAATCTTTATTTTACTCCACATAATCCTTGAATTTATACATTTGTAGTCCCTCTTTTCCTACCATAGCTTATCCTTCAACATTATTGCTACTCCTTCTTTAGCTCTAACTCTATTTGAAACCCCTGACCTAATCCCATTTATTCCTCTCCAATGAAACTCTCCCACCCCCTTCATCTTTGTTTCACTTAAAGCCAGGACATCCAGTTTCTTCTCATTCATAACATCCACAATCATCTCTTTCTTATCATTTGCACAACATCCACGCACATTCAGACTTCCCACTTTGACAATTTTCTTCTTCTTATTCTTTTTAGTAATCTTTACAGGAAAAGGGGTTACTAGCCCATTGCTCCCGGCATTTTAGTTGACTTTTACAACACGCATGGCTTACGGAGGAAAGATTCTTATTCCACTTCCCCATGGATATAAAAGAAAAAGTAATAAGACCAAGAACTATTAAGATAAAATCAAAGAAAACTCAGATGAGTGTGTATAAATAAACGTGTACATGTATGTGTAGTGTGACCTAAGTGTAATTAGAAGTTATTAATACATTAGTTATATATATTTATGGAGTTTAGACAGAGTTGAACAAAAATTTTTAACTACTAGTATATCACTATTCTTACATTCCTGTAAAGTCCTAAATTCATACAGTATCATTTAACCCCACATAACAATAGTGCAGCAAATGGTAGAGAAAAATAGGCAGAGGTGTTAGGGAAAGGACAACAGCAAAAAGATAGCAAAATTCAAATTAATAATTCAAATGTCAGTAAGAGATCATAAAGAGAATCCACAGAGCAGGGCAGATAGTAAACCTCACATTCCCACTTCAAGATTATACACACAGGAATACAAAGAGTGATTTGCAAAACAGAGGCAGTGAGTTATAGAAGATCAAGAGGAGGGGGTCATTATGGCTCACAAAGCTACAGTTAGGTCATGTGGTGGTTGAAGAGCAGTATTTTGCTCAATGAGCAAACTGCCAACATTGCACAGGGGCAAAACCTCATTACCCACCAACTGTCAAACTATTTGTTAGAGCAGTGATAGGAGGGAGTCATTGTAATGTGATTTTGGCCACATTGATGGCACTAACCACAATTGGATCTGACAGCTCAAGTTAATCACATGTATCTTCTGCAAACTTCTCAAAAAGACTGAGAGCAAGACTAGATGAAGAGTGCTGCCCATCTTGCTGCAGGAATTTAACTGGGGAATGAATGACAGATGTGCTAGCCACTGTCTGGAATTTGGAGATAATACCTGCTTGTACAGCATTTAACACACAAACAACAAACTTAATCATGTTCTGTGTGTTAAAAGATCCCATGACCTACTGATGACAGGAGATTAAGACCTTAGAACTAAAAGGGCATAACTGACTTCTGTGTCTAAGTCCTAACCAAATACAGTATCTCGCCACAAATCACCAGTACACCAAGTATCATTCCACTTACCTGACAATACCAAAACTCACATTTCATAGTGGTAATCCTCCACAAAGCCCTACTGTACTAGGAACCAAATACATGCAGACTGATTTAACAAGCCCAGGATGAAACATCCAAATTTACCTCCATTCAGTCACCAACATTGAGTGTTTGCAGCAGTAGTTGGAGAACAAAATTTAGAGTACCTGGGTCTTCAGGCATTGTCCAGGTGTGGACAGCCCCAGCCAGAGTGGTCCAGTGTACATATTTATAAAGAATGTACGTAATTCTTTAACCATATAATGAAATCCACTCTCAAGGAATTTGTAGTGGTTGAGTTACAACTCCAAGTCACACCTCTTAATTCTGGATCGACTAATGAGATCTAGCTGCCATACTTGCTCGATAATCTTTTATGGAATCAACATTTATAAAAAATTGCAAACTTTGCATCTGGATCAATTACAAAATACTCTAAGCATAACATGTATACATTTTGGAATTCACAGGGTCAAAAGTCAGTCACCAACAGATTAAAAGCTGTATGACCCTTGTAGGTTTAGTACTCAGTTTTGATTGTAATAATAATAATAATAGACTAAAAGTCAAATGAGTCAAGGTTATTTCTAAGTTTTATGAACCCTTACAGTGTTTACACCTTACTAACCTTTTCTTCAAATATGAAGTAAGGTGAAGGGAACTTCAGTATCTGTTTACTATTGTTGACAGATGATTTATGGATGAGAGCAACCTTTGAATCTTGGGTTAATACCTGCCATGGAAAGTGAAATGTTTTATTAACACACCATATTGAAAAAATTACAAATTTAAGGCATGTATTTTGTGTTATGTACAATATAGTATAAAATAACTCCATTCAACTAAATTCTTAGCTATATCACTAGTTTGCATTCCATTCTATCAACTGAACACAAGAAACTGCCCAATTCACCTATTACAACTACCCTATAAACTGCACAGAAGTTGGTAATGTGGCCAATTTTACACAAAACTAAAAAAAATACCAATTTAAACAGAGTGCAAAATAAACAATGTAACAATGTAGACATTCCTGGCACTAAAACATTTCCTCTGTTAATCAATCACATCCCCAGACCTCTCCTATATTATACTTGCCTTCCATTTTGAATTCATAATCACACAAAAATAGAAGTTTTATTCTATTCCATAGATAATAAAATATAACCAGGAATGATTGGTCATGGTTTAATGCATCCCGATAACTGAATCAGATCTATTAAAAAAGCCTAAAACAGACTGCAGGGTGTAGGGGAGGGGTCTTACATATTCTTAGGAAAATTGGCAAAATTTAATATTTCCACAATTTTGAACTGAATTTCAAGCTACTTCTAGTCCTGAAATTAACCAAACATGTCTCTTATTTCAGCAGTCTTCTGTTCCAGCAAATGATACCAAAAAACTAATAAAACAATAAAAACTACCTTAGAAGACACTATTTTAAACTAAACACAAAGTCAGAGTTTTGCTTTTTCCAAGATACACCCCATGGGGCAGGATTTTTTTATACTGTGCACACTCACTGCACAGACCCATTCTCTCACATACAGGCCAAAATTTACAACTCACAGGTTATACGAGTGACCTGAGCTCACGATATAGAACTACTTGAGGGACCCTGGCCTCAATGGTGTGGTTCTACATGATGGCTACTGAATGGGTTAAGTCATGTAACATATCCACATATTAAGTTGGTTAGCAAATGATTACATCATATCTTGTATCATTTAGCACAAGAAAAGTTATAGTGCTTTCTAATATTCCAAAGAAACATTGGAAGGAACAGACTGTTAACAAAATTTCACCACAGTACAAAAAAGTTACATATCAAACTGTGAACTATAAGAATGCTGCATACCTTAAACTTAAATTTGTGAGCGCAGACATTTGGATAGTGTCCCAGCGCTACAAGACCCACTATAATGTCTAACTTGGGGTCTGCTGATCCATAAAAGTTGAATGTTTGAGGCAAAAGACACTCTTCTGGGAATCCAGTTGCATTTACAAGTAACTCCTTCAGTTGATTCTGTAGACAAAATTATTTATCTTCAAAGCAAAAAATTTCTACAATTTAGGAACATGATGTACTTTTTTTCTCACTTATTATTGTATCAATGCACCAATATTTGGTATTTAGCTGCTTGGTGTGTGTTGGTTTCTCTTTGTTTGGCACATTTGAATAGGGAAATGTGATTATTCTTACTTTTATTAAGATTTAATGAATGTATATTTTGTGATTTCTCAATATTTTTAATAAAATTTACTGAAATATAGTATGAAAATACTCATACTGATGTTCTTAACTGATGGTTCCAATATCTGAGCATCCACCCTTTACCATTCACGATGGATAGTCAAATATTCCTTATATCTTACCTTTGCTTCCCATGTAACCCGCAGTGCTGGTAGAGAAATTCTATTGTCCTCACAAAACCTTATCTCAGCTTCTTCTCCTTCAGCCTTGGCTTCCAACCATGAATTAAAGACACTTAAAGTGGCTATGTGATCACTGTATCGATTGCCAGCAAAATCACGCTGAAATTGGCTAAGCCGACGTGATTCTGGAGCTGCAATGAAGCAAAGATTTTAGTATATTCTACCATTCATTATTCACCTGACAGTAATACAACATTAATAAAGTGCACTGGAAAGAAGCACTCTCAAATCGTATGGGCATGTTTAGAGGATGATGGATGACAGAGGTTTGTTAGGCTTTTGATCCCTGAGGGTAATTAAGGTTACATTTTGCTGAAACACTAACATCAAATAACCTTTAATTCCCTATACTGCATAGTAGTAAATAAATATGTAGTAACTTGATAAGGCCTCATCTGACTGACTTTAAATTTTCCATGCTGGTGTACTATAAGCAAACCAAGACTTGTGTAGCTATTGTCATGTGCAAGTGCCCTATGATCAATGTTATATATCCCATTGGAATGGGTTCACTGACTGTTAAAAGCCTTGTCTGCTTGGTTTCAAACCTTGAACTCTCTTGTATTCTACTTCAAAGAAGGCTGAGTGTGTTAATGTAGTGTAGGTGCACTTTTATGTGTGAAACAAAAAGGGATTTTTTCCATCAACTCTTAAGTTAATTATACTAGAGTATACATATTTGGAACTGCTTTTATCTTTAATGGCTGATCTATCATACATATAAAACAGTACCCAATAAGTTTAGTCAATATAGATGCATACTGCTTCTTACAAATCTATCTCATTTAATAAATTTTTCACACTATCATCAATCACCAACAAATTCAATAAGAGAGCTAGGGTAGGTAAATAACTGTAAATTAAAGGGATGGAAATGTGCAATTAGTGTAATGAGTTACCTGTCTTCATGCACTCCCTTCCACCTTCCTACATACTTCGAAGCATATCTAACAGTACCTCAATTTTCTTAGAAACTGTCGGAATTTCATGCTTCATTTTCTTCTTTCAGCATCACTAATATTCCTTTTGGGTACCTTAGCTAATATCCAGAGATGAAATAGGGTACTGATAAGATCTAAAATCACTCAATAAACACAATGGGACAGTCATGCCACGCTTCCAGAAAGTCACTGTAGACAGTGTAGGTATGATGACAACAAAGTGTGATGCTGCACCTCTCCTAAGAAACAATGGTCTCACAAACTACTGCACAGCTACCCAGAGTTTCAAGTCTTGAGCATTTTGCAAATTATGGCGTATGTGTCAGGGAAGTTTTCAGTGCGAATCAAATTATAGTTTGTGTTTTTGGGGGTTCTGTTAATCAAGGATTTACTACAAATTGCACTTTTTGTAATATTTCTTTTATTGTAAGATTGTAGAATTTTAAATCTTAAAAAATCTTTGAGGAACAAAATAGGTAGGTATTTTATTCCTTTTTGGGGGATACATAATTAACTTACACATTATGAAAATTTCAGTAGTAGTGTTGAGTGCAGCAAGAGTACACATGGCATCACCACAAAAGAAGATACAACCCAGGATCACCATCTTCGCCAAATGGGGATCTATTGGTAATCTTGCCAAGATACGTCCAAGAGGAGTTAGTTCCTCATTACTGCCCAAACATTTCATCTCTGAAAATAGTTTAATACAATAATTAGTTTGTCTGTGATCAAGGCTTCATAAAATTTGAGTTAAATACAGTTTAGATTAAAGATTTTCTGGATCAAACAGGTTAACCTCACTCGAGCACAGTGAAGTTAACAGATCTTGCCCATATACCTTTAGACAATTAATGCACAATTTTTTTTATTAAACAGTATTATTTATCAGAAGGTGGATAAGCTCAGGCTTTACAAGCTTTCTTCCACTGTACTTTTAAACTTAAGATAGTGGAAAAGTACAATACTGGCACAATGGGAGGTAATCATAGAAGAGTAGTATTCCTAAGTAGGTCTTACAACAGTCCTCAAAGAAGCTTCTCATACTTCAAAATGGTGTAATACATATTAAGATAATACCCTTCTTAATTGCTTCAATGATTTTTGCTTTCTCAGAAGCAAATGTAACCTGCCATCATTTTCCTCAGGTTAAGCTGGTGATTAATTGCTGAAGTAGATGACTGAGTATAGTCAATGGTAATGGATAACTACTACTGCGTTCCTTTTACTTTTAGCCGAAAGTTATTAACTTCCTTCAACAAATACAGTGCAAAAAAAAAAAAAAAAAAAAGTTCAACCTCACCTCTTAATGTAGCCCTTGCTTCAGTAATAGCATCAGTGGGTGGTGCATGAATTGCTCTGGACAGAAATTCTCCAATAGATCCCAGACGCAGAAGTTTAATTAAGAGGCTTATTTCATGCAAGGGTGTGCGGACCATCTCTGGTGTTGTGTGTTCATCTAGTTTCTCATATCTAGCCTGATATAAAGATATTTTATGAAAAAATTACATTATATAACCCAAAAGAATTAGAATATTGATGCTGAATGGGCAAAATGGGCAAAATTTTTTTTTTTTTTATTAACACATCGGTCGATTCCCACCAAAGCAGAGTGGCCCAAAAAAGAAAAACTTTCATCATCATCATTCACTCCATCACTGCCTTGCCAGAGGAGTGCTTTACACTACAGTTTATAAAACTGCAACATTAATACCCCTCCTTCAGAGTGCAGACACTGTACTTCCTATCTCCAGGACTCAAGTCCAGCCTGCTGGTTTCCCTGAATCCCTTCATAAATGTTACTTTGCTCACACTCCAACAGCATGTCAAGTATTAAGAACCATTTGTTTCCATTCACTCCTATCAAATACGCTCACGCATGCTTGTTAGAAGTCCAAGCCCTTCGCACACAAAACCTCCTTTACCCTCTCCCTCCAACCTTTCCTAGGCCGACCCCTACCCTGCCTTCCCTCCACTACAAATTTATACACTCTTGAAGTCATTCTGTTTCGTTCCATTCTCTCTACATATCTGAAACACTTCAACAACCCTTCCTCAGCCCTCTGGACAACAGTTTTGGCAATCCCACACCTCCTCCTAACTTCCAAACTACGAATTCTCTGCATTATATTCACACCACACATTGCCCTCAGACATCACATCTCCACTGCCTCCAGCCTTCTCCTCGCTGCAACATTCATCACCCATGCTTCACACCCATATATGCTACAGTAACAAATATTATTATCTATCAAATTACAGTAATGAATTTCTTAACCCTTAAACTGGGTGCAATGTACAGTATGTATACGTATATATGTCCACATGGGTGACTGGACACCTTTGATATACTGTACCTTAAATGAGTTTTGAGAGTTGTCTTACTCCTGCACTTTGTGTAACAGTTTAGCATTATGTACAATTTTGTTACTAGACACTACTAGGCTTGGATGGGTGTCTTGCATGTTTTAATGTATCATCTTAATGCTGCAGAAGGGTACAGTACTACAGGTACAGTATACAGCCTCTCCCCATTTAACAACGGAGTTCCATTCCTGAGACTACGTCATTAAACGAATTTGTCGCTAAGTGAGGAGCATACTATAATGATAGTGAGTTTGTGAAACCATTTCTGATGTTGTTTTAATGTCACCTTTGCACCATTTATAATATTTATGGTATATTTTTAAATGTTTATAGTGTACTGTATATTGAAATAAAGAGAGTAGAGGAAATCAGCTCTAATATACATTATTTAGGTATGAACACTGGTCAGAGAGCCCGTCATAAGTCCAAGGCGTCGATAAACGAGTACATCGCTCAGTGAGGAGAGGCTGTATTATAATTTTATATTGATTAGTTTCAGTTCTAAAATAATGCTATGAATTTCATAGGAAATATTCTTATTCAATAACATTTTCCCACCAAAAATTTTACTAAATGTACTGTATATTTATGAATAACATTATTACACATATTTAAAGCTTTGGAAATAGCTACCATGAATCAAAGTTATCAAATCAAAACTTATCCTAAATAATGAAACCTAATGTATGTTAATTATTCAAAGAAACTTATATGCAAGAAATTCCATTTTATGACCAGCAAATGAATTAAAAACTACAGTAGTTAATACCTTAGTGCACAAATGGAAACAAATTCCAGCCCTGACTGTTCCAGCTCTACATTTGCGCTGTTCTAGATTTGTACGCGAGGCCCACAGTGTTGCATAGTTGGTTACATGGTTGTGTGATGTGAAGAGCTTCACTTTTGATTTGCATGAGTCAATCACAAATGCAACATCACTGATGGAGACTGAGGATTCAGCAATGTTTGTTGCCAGGATAATCTGAGGAATAATAATAATCAGACATTATCTACTGTAGTTATTTAAGAAGCAAATTAGTATACAATTTTTTAAATACCTGTATTACAAACAGTGTTTTTGCATGTGATGTATTATTGAAACTGTACTACCTTTCTAACACCATCTGGAACAGGGTCAAACACTCTGCGTTGGTCTTCTCGTGGAAGCTGCGAGTGCAGAGGTAACACACAGTATTGGGGTGTCCCTTAGGAAATAGAAACTCTAGTTAATACACGACAACATTTTGATAACAAGGAAGTTGAATGAGTTTTGCCTAATTTGCACATTAAAAACTAAAAATGTGTACACGTCAGAAGGCTTGGTAGATTTGACATAACCAAGGTTCACCTTTTCTGGAAGACAAAGACATTATCCATGGAGGCAGAAAGGGTAATGTATGAGAGTATAGTGGTGCCAACACTCTTCTATGGGTGTGAAGAAGGGGTTTGTGAATGTTGCTGCGAGTAAGAGGTTGGAGACAGTGGAGATGTCGTGTCTGAAGGCAATGTGTGGTGTCAATATTATGCAGAGAATTCGTAGATTAGAAATTAGAATGAGACACCTGATCACTAAAAGAAGTATGAAGAGGGTTGGGGAGAGGATGTTGAGGGGGTTTGAACATTTAGAGAGGATGGAGCAAAATAGGATGAGTTGGAGGGTGTATAAATCTGAAGTGGAGGGAAGGCGAGGTAGGTTGCCCTACGAAAAGTAAGGCTTAGTGTGTGAGGAGCTTGGACATCTGGGATATAGAGTAAATCTTCTATTTTTATGTGATTATGAATTCAAAATAGAAGGGAAGTGTAATATATAGGGAAGAACTGGGGATGTAATTAATGAACAAAGGAAAATGTTTTAGTGCCAGAAATGTCTAAACTATTTATTTTGCACTCTATTTTTAAACTGGTAGTATTTTTTTACTATTGTGTAAAATTGGCCAAATAATTGACTTCTGTGCACTTTAAAGGATAGTTGTAATAGCTGAATGGGCAGTTTCTCAAGCTCAACTGATAGAAAGGAAGACATACTAGTGAAAGAGTTAAGAATTTGGTTGAACGGAGCAAAGGAATTAGCTTAAAATCAGATTAAAAGTGACCAAAATTGCTGATGCATAAATGATGCATAAATTGCACTTAGATTGCTAACTTTGCACTTGTGTAATTCCATAAGAGCTACATCAAAACTTCATACTTTGGTGTCATTAACTTCAGAAAAATATTCTGTACCATGTTAGAGGATTTTTTTTTTTTTAAGTGGGCACTGGGAACAATACTGATTTCAAAGGTTTGGACATTGAAAGGGTTTCACACAAAAGATCACTGTTTTCGTATGTGCAACCATGAAAATGAATGTTGAGCAATTTCACTTATTTAGTTTAAACTTGATAAGAAATTTGCAAAAATGAACATGCAAAATTGAACAAATGTTTTTAAGTTAAATAAATACTTTAAACTTTTTTCTAAAGTAAATTTTTTTATTCTGCAAATGGATCTATCAACTACAGATCCTCAGCTTTCTAATGGTATATTACACTGTTCTTATGTGAAATTAAATTTTTGAACCTAAGATGCTTTTTATGCAGATCTGTGGCACCTGAAGCAGGGAACAACAGAGACGAGAATGGAAACTTCACATCCAATAGGCATAAAAACTTCAGAAAATACTTTTCAAAAAGGCAGTAAAAAGTGACATGAGCTAAAAAACAATGCAGAATAAACCAATTTTATACAGGAACTAGAATAAATATTAAAAATTTAATTTATTCAAGTCAATCACAAGTGAAAATGCAGACTCAAAGTACATAAACTCAAGTAGATAACAAAAACTTACCAAAAACTGGATCTTGTTCAAGATGTCGCATAAGATTAAAGATGACATCCCAGCCAGGAAGGAATATCAGAACAGCTCCAGGGGTGCTGAGTGTATATATATATTTCAGCAAAGCTTCAACTAATTCAAAATTTAATTCCTTTTCATTCATGACAGACAAAGATTTTCTAGTGCTATCTGAATAGTGACTTGAGTTGACAATATTCAGGTTCTCTTCTGGCTCCTCTCCTGGCAGCTCCTCATCTTTATCCTGCAAGAATGACAGAAAGTAATTCTAACAGAGACTTCCCTTTGCAGTAGCAGTTAAATAAATGAATGGTCTATACCATTTCAGACAAGCAATTTTTAATAAAGTATCTGAAGTAATACTAACCACTCTATTCCAATCACTATCAGAATCTGTAGTAGGTGTAAATTTGATAAGTTCAATGCAGTCCTCCAAAAAGTACTGTCGTACGGGAAAAGCTTGCCCTGGTACCTCAATCACATGTGGGTTGGCAAAATATTCCAAGAAGAGTGAAATGTCTATGGAAGCAGACAAGAGAATAATGCGAAGGTCTGGGAAAGCACGCACCTGTAATGAAGAGTACAATATATTAATATGTCCATCAATGCTATGATCTGGCAGTTCCCGCATGCATTCTTCTATCAGAAGGCTACAATGTCCAATGTTAAGAGGAAACCTTATTAACTAGAAACACTGTGAGTGAAAGGTAAAATAAAATAAACAGGCTCAACCTATGAGGTATCCAAACAGGGATACAGGTGCTTCTCGACTTACGATAGGGTTACACTTCAATGAACCCACCGTAAGCTGAAAATAACAAAAAAAGGCACAATACCATGACTGGAACAATACGCAAATAACCCACACATAGAAGAGAAGAGCTTATGACGACATTTCAGTCCGACTTGAACCACTTACAAAGTCACACTGTGACTTTGTAAATGGTCCAAGTTGGACCGAAACATCGTCATAAGCTCCTCTCTTCTATGTGCGGGTATTTAAGTGAAAATATCACAAGTTGAATATGAATATAAGTAAAAAATACTATATCACTGGGAAAAAGTATTTTTTATTATTTTATTATCACACTGGCCGATTCCCACCGCAGGTGGCCCGAAAAAGAAACCCCCCCCTCATTTTTATGAAAAAAAAAAAAATTTTGGAGTGAGTTAAAAAATTTAAAGAAAGAAAGGGAAAAATAGGATTTGAGTTAAAAACGAGTAGGGGAGTTGTGATGGGGAGTGGAGGTTTAGGTAGATGGCGGGGGAATTTTTTGAGGAACTTTTAAATGTTAAGGGAAAAAAAGAGGCAGTAATTTCAGCACTGGTCGGGGGAGGTTACCATCTTTTAGGAGTGAAAGAGCAGAATGTAAGTGTGGGGGAGGTACGTGAGGCATTACGTAAAATGAAAGGGGTAAAGCAGCTGGTACTGATGGGATCATGACGAAATGTTAAAAGCAGGGGGGGATATAGGTTGGAGTGGTTGGTACTTTTGTTCAAAAAAATGAAATGAAAGAGGGGAAGGTACCTAGGGATTGGCGGAGGCATGTATAGTCCCTTTATAAAAAGGGGAAAAGGGGACAAAAGAGACTGAAAAAATTATAGAGGAATAAGCTTACTGAGTATACCGGGGAAAAGTGTACGGTAGGGGTTAAAATTGGGAAAGAATTAGAGGTAAGACAGAATGTAGGATTGCGGATGAGCAAGGAGGTTTCAGAGTGGGTAGGGGAGTGTAGTTTCAAGTGTTTACATTGAAGCATAAATGTAAAACAGTATTTAGATAAAGGTAGGGAAGTTTTTATTGCATTTAGGGTTTTAGAAAAGGCATATGATAGAGTGGATAGAGGAGCAATGTGCAGATGTTGCAAGTATATGGAATAGGTGGTAAGTTATTAAATGCTGTAAAGAGTTTTTATGAAGATAGTGAGGCTCAGGTTAGGGTGTGTAGAAGAGAGGGAGACTATTTCCCGGTAAAAGTAGGTCTTAGACAGGGATGTGTAATGTCACCATGGTTGTTTAATATATTTATAGATGGGGTTTTTAAAAGGAAGTAAATGCTAGGGTGTTTGGGAGGGGGGTGGATTAAATTATGGGGAATCAAATTCAAAATGGGAATTGACACAGTTACTTTTTGTGATGATACTGTGCTTATGGGAGATTCTAAAGAAAAATTGCAAAGGTTAGTGGATGAGTTTGGGAATGTGTGTAAAGGTAGAAAGTTGAAAGTGAACATAGAAAAGAGTAAGGTGATGAGGGTGTCAAATGATTTAGATAAAGAAAAATTGGATATCAATTGGGGAGGAGGGTATGGAAAAAAGTGAATGTTTCAGATACTTGGGAGTTGACGTGTCGGCGGATGGATTTATGAAGGATTGAGGTTAATCATAGAATTGATGAGGGAAAAAAGGTGAGTGGTGCGTTGGAGGGATATGTGGAGTCAAAAAAACGTTATCTATGGAGGCAAAGAAGGGAATGTATGAAGTATAGTAGTACCAACACCTTATATGGGTGTGAAGCTTGGGGGGGGTAAATGCAGCAGCGAGGAGACGGTTGGAGGCAGTGGAGGGTGTCCTGTTTAAGGGCAATGTGTGGTGTAAATATTATGCAAAAGAAAATTCGGAGTGTGGAAATTAGGAGAAGGGTTTTGGAGTTAATAAAGTATTAGTCAGAGCCCGAAGAGGGGTGTTGAGGTGGTTTGGTCATTTAGAGAGAATGGATCAAAGTAGAAGACATGGAAAGCATATAAATCTTAGGGGAAGGGAAAAAGGGGGGGTAGGGGTCGTCCCCGAAAGGGTTGGAGAGAGGGGTTAAGGAGGTTTTGTGGGTAAGGGGCTTGGACTTCCGCAAACGTGCGGGGAGCGTGTTAGATAGGAGTGAATGGAGACGAATGGTACTTGGGACCTGACGATCTGTTGGAGTGTGAGCAGGGTAATATTTAGTGAAGGGATTCAGGGAAACCGGTTATTTTCATATAGTCGGACTTGAGTCCTGGAAATGGGAAGTACAATGCCTGCACTTTAAAGGAGGGGTTTGGGATATTGGCAGTTTGGAGGGATATGTTGTGTATCTTTATATGTGTATGCTTCTAGACTGTTGTATTCTGAGCACCTCTGCAAAAACAGTGATAATGTGCGAGTGTGGTGAAAGTGTTGAATGATGATGAAAGTATTTTCTTTTTGGGGATTTTCTTTCTCTTTTGGGTCACCCTGCCTCGGTGGGAGACGGCCGACTTGTTGAAAAAAAAAAAAAAAAAAAAAAAAAAAAAAACTGGGAACAATACTGATTTCAAAGGTTTGGACATTGAAAGGGTTTCACACAAAAGATCACTGTTTTCGTATGTGCAACCATGAAAATGAATGTTGAGCAATTTCACTTATTTAGTTTAAACTTGATAAGAAATTTGCAAAAATGAACATGCAAAATTGAACAAATGTTTTTAAGTTAAATAAATACTTTAAACTTTTTTCTAAAGTAAATTTTTTTATTCTGCAAATGGATCTATCAACTACAGATCCTCAGCTTTCTAATGGTATATTACACTGTTCTTATGTGAAATTAAATTTTTGAACCTAAGATGCTTTTTATGCAGATCTGTGGCACCTGAAGCAGGGAACAACAGAGACGAGAATGGAAACTTCACATCCAATAGGCATAAAAACTTCAGAAAATACTTTTCAAAAAGGCAGTAAAAAGTGACATGAGCTAAAAAACAATGCAGAATAAACCAATTTTATACAGGAACTAGAATAAATATTAAAAATTTAATTTATTCAAGTCAATCACAAGTGAAAATGCAGACTCAAAGTACATAAACTCAAGTAGATAACAAAAACTTACCAAAAACTGGATCTTGTTCAAGATGTCGCATAAGATTAAAGATGACATCCCAGCCAGGAAGGAATATCAGAACAGCTCCAGGGTGCTGAGTGTATATATATTTCAGCAAAGCTTCAACTAATTCAAAATTTAATTCCTTTTCATTCATGACAGACAAAGATTTTCTAGTGCTATCTGAATAGTGACTTGAGTTGACAATATTCAGGTTCTCTTCTGGCTCCTCTCCTGGCAGCTCCTCATCTTTATCTGCAAGAATGACAGAAAGTAATTCTAACAGAGACTTCCCTTTGCAGTAGCAGTTAAATAAATGAATGGTCTATACCATTTCAGACAAGCAATTTTTAATAAAGTATCTGAAGTAATACTAACCACTCTATTCCAATCACTATCAGAATCTGTAGTAGGTGTAAATTTGATAAGTTCAATGCAGTCCTCCAAAAAGTACTGTCGTACGGGGAAAAGCTTGCCCTGGTACCTCAATCACATGTGGGTTGGCAAATATTCCAAGAAGAGTGAAATGTCTATGGAAGCAGACAAGAGAATAATGCGAAGGTCTGGGAAAGCACGCACCTGTAATGAAGAGTACAATATATTAATATGTCCATCAATGCTATGATCTGGCAGTTCCCGCATGCATTCTTCTATCAGAAGGCTACAATGTCCAATGTTAAGAGGAAACCTTATTAACTAGAAAAAACTGTGAGTGAAAGGTAAAATAAAATAAACAGGCTCAACCTATGAGGTATCCAAACAGGGATACAGGTGCTTCTCGACTTACGATAGGGTTACACTTCAATGAACCACCGTAAGCTGAAAATAACAAAAAAGGCACAATACCATGACTGGAACAATACGCAAATAACCCACACATAGAAGAGAAGAGCTTACGACGACATTTCAGTCCGACTTGAACCACTTACAAAGTCACACTGTGACTTTGTAAATGGTCCAAGTTGGACCGAAACATCGTCATAAGCTCCTCTCTTCTATGTGCGGGTTATTTAAGTTGAAAATATCACAAGTTGAATATGAATATAAGTAAATAAATAACTATAGTCACTGAATAAGTATTTTTTATTATTTTTATTATCACACTGGCCGATTCCCACCAAGGCAGGGTGGCCCGAAAAAGAAAAACTTTCACCATCATTCACTCCATCACTGTCTTGCCAGAAGGGTGCTTTACACTACAATTTTTAAACTGCAACAAATAATTACTGTAACTAAATACCAGTATTATTCAAAAGTAAATAAATGAATACAAGCTTACCTGTCAATAAATGTACAGTACAATACATTACCGAATATGCTTCACTATCGCACCATTGTAAAGTCGAAATATCATAAGCCGAACCATCGCACAGCATTAGAAATCTTCCATATGAAGAAATATTGAAGTCCCTTAAATTACATTCACTTGTAAGATGAAGAATGAGGGGAGATGATCGAAGTGTATAAGTGGAAGATGGGTATTAACAAAAGGGATATAAATAAGGTTTTGAGGATATCTCTCCAAGAGAGATTCCATAGTAATGGATTCAAATTAGACAAGTTCAGACTTAGACAGGATATGGGAAAGTATTGGTTTAGTAATAAGGTAGTCAATGAGTGGAACAGTCTGCTTAGTAGGGTTATTGAGGCTAAAACCTTGGGTAGTTTCAAATTTAGGTTGGATACACATACGAGTGAGAGGGGTTGGATTTGAGTGGGACTTGCACATGAGTAAATAGAATTCTCAAAGCTTATTGCTTGGGTAGCATTGAAAATTGGTTTGGGCAAATATTCTGTTTGTGGGATGGATTGTGAAGGACCTCCCTAGTATGGGCCAACAGACCTGCTGCAGTGTTCCTCCTTTCTTATGTTCTTATCATAAAGCAAGGAACATCTGTACTTTATAAACACAAACAAATTCTAATACAGCCTCTCCTCATTTAATGACGGAGTTCTGTTCCTAAGACCACATCGGTAAACGAATTCATCACTAAGTGAGGAGCATACTGTGATGGTAGTGGGTTTGTGTCAACCATCTTTGATATTGTTTTAATGTCACCTTTGTACCTTTTATAACATTTCTGGTATATTTTTAAATGTTTATACAGTAGTGTACTGTATACTGTTATAAACAGAATAGAGGAAATCAGCTCTAATATACATTATTTAGGTATGAACACTGGTCAGAGAGCCCCCTCGTAAGCCCGAGTCATTGGTAAACGAGTATGTCACTAAGTGAGGAGAGGCTGTAATTATAACATCTGAAGAAAAACTTAACATATCATGTTGGACAACAAAGATATATTACAAAAGTAAAAACAGAATCTAATAATTATAACATCTGAAAAACAGCTTACCATATTACAGTATAAATTAATAAAAAGCACTGAGTTACTTTCATTTTTCTTTTAGGGCAACCCCGCCTTGGTGGGATACAGCCAGTGCATTCAAAGAAAAAAAACTGAGTTTAATGATTATAACATTTGAAGATCAACTTACCATGTCATGTAACACAATCAGAAGGAAGTCTGTGTTGATATCTCTCTCATGAATTTCATCAACAATCACATGAGATACACCTCTCAACCCAGCTTCTAACTTTCTCAGCAGAACTCCAACAGTGCAGAACCACATACCACCATATGGTCTTGGAAGCACCGATTCTAACTCTACAGAGTATCCAACACTATTACCAATTTCTTCTCCACGTTCAGAGGCAATACGTTCAGCAACAGACACCGCAGATATAGAGTGAGGCTGTGTGACAATTATATTGCAACAGCCTCCTGATCCTGACTGAATGTAGTTGTCCAAGATAAACTGGCAAACCTGTTGAAAGAAAATGAAGTATAATGAACAGAGACTTCTTATTTATAACTACTATACAGTACACATGTTGGTAAACCTGTGAGTGAGGAAATGCATACAGTTAGGAAACAATGCAACTCCAAACTATTTTATAGTACGTACATAATTTCGAGGATAACAACATTCTTCCTCTATAAGCCATGCGTGTCGTAAGAAGTGACTAACATGCCGGGAGCAAGGGGCTAGTAACCCCTTCTCCTGTATACATTACGAAAGTTAAAAAGAGAAACTTTTGTTTTTCTTTTTGGCCCACACAACCTCAGTGGGATACAGCAGGTTTGTTGAAAGAAGAATTTTGAGGATGCAGTTTGTAAAACATTGCCAGCATGAATTCATGCTTACATTCTACATTTCTGACTTAGATTATTATGCTCAAGTGCCATTTTGCTAATATCAAGATGTATTTATCAGGATTAGTATTACTATGTAAAGTATTTTTATATACACTATGTAGTATATTTGCATACAAGTTAAACTCATCTGAAATTTATACATGTATATATAAATTTACAAATAGATTACTAGCTGAAGAAAAACTATTACATGTAGTTTTATTCCTAGCTTAAGTCTGCCCAAAGTTTGTTGCATGCAGTTAGGGAATAAACAAACTGTTAATTTCGCAAAATTCGTTCTGAACCTAATGAAAAAAATATATTTTGTTGTGTTTGTTTATTATTAAATTATTGTAAACTTGTAACAAAGTTGGTAGAATTACCGACAATATGTAAAGTAAAAGGACACAAGTGCAACTAATGTGACATTTTTATTGTGGCAACGTTTCGCTCTCCAGGTAACGGCTTGACGAAGCTCCTGGAGAGCGAAACGTCGCCACAATAAAAATGTCACACGAGTTGCACTTGTGTCCTTTTACTGTACATATTGTAAACTTACTTAAAATATATTCCATACATGTAACACTCGTGTATTTTCTTGACCAATTAAAATTCTTACTATATTATACAGTAGAATTATTACTGAAATAGTTAAGGGTTAGAGAAAAAGTAGGAATGCAAAGGAACAAGGAGGATTTCGGAATGGTAGGGAATGTGTAGATCTGGTGATTACATTGAAACATACAAGTGAGCAATTTTTTTTTTTTTCAACAAGTCGGCCGTCTCCCACCGAGGCAGGGTGACCCAAAAAAGAAAGAAAATCCCCAAAAAGAAAATATTTTCATCATCATTCAACACTTTCACCACACTCAATACAAGTGAGCAATACAGTACTTAAATAAGAGTAAGGAGCTTTTTTTTGCATTTATGAATTGAGAAGATACTTGATAAGGTGGACAGAGAAGCAATGTAGCAGATGTTGCAAATAGCAAAGTTCAGGTTGTAGCATGTTTTAGAGAGGGGGGTACTATTACATAGTGAAAGTAGGACTTAGAGATGTGCGATCTCACATATTTATAGAAGGGTTTGTAAGATAAGTAAATATCAGGGGGTTTTAAGAAGAGGTGTGAAACTGGAAGATGAAAGATCTGATGCAAAATGGTCACCTCTAGTGTACATATCCTACTGAGGCAGTATTACCCATGATGCTCTGTGTGGACTTGCATGAACCAGAACTTTCTTCTTAGGTATGAGGAGGTGGTAGGCAAGCAACACAGTGGAGCTGAGGCTTAAAATGGCAAACATTTGAATGCAAAAGTATTAAATATATGAAGGAGCTCATAGTTCGATCTCCCATGTACATATGTCCCTAACATAAAGGGTTAATAGATGGGCTGTTAACAGTGTGAGCAAGATGACATTTATGAAGGGGTTCAGGGAAAACTGGTTAACTGGACTTGTGAGTTCTGGAAGTGGAAAGAGCAGTGCCTGCGCACTCTGAAAAAGGGGTGAGGATATTACAGTCTGAGGGTCACCTGAATTGTGATGTCAGCATATTGAACACTGGCAAGACAGTGATTGAATAGATGATAGCATATGTTTCCTCTTACAGATTACCTTACCTTGTTGGGAGACAGCCAATGAGGTAAATTTCTTTTTTAATACCTACCTGAGTTGTCTTTCCACTGTCTGTGTTTCCCCTGATGATAGTAACTGGATTTTCAGAAATAGCAGATATTATGTCTGGCTTTACTTTATATACAGGTAACTGGGCCCTTTGTTCAGTCACTGACTCTGAGCAGTCCTTTTGAGCCTCCTGTAAGTCAGCACTAATTTCATCCAAGCTGAGCTGAGGAGAAAAAGAACATTATCTCCTTGTTTTTTATGAGCCAAAACTAAATGCTAAGCATTTAAATGTTAAATAGATTTACATCATTTTAACCAATTAACACTGGGAAATTGAAGATGAGATCAAATATTTAGAATGGTTGTGAGATGGCTATATTTGCATCTAAGACAGAAGTTAAATAACTGTTCATAAAAGAAACTTCACAATCTACTTTGCATTTTATTTGGTAATTATTTTCTTTCTTTCTTTCAACACACCGGCCGTATCCCACCGAGGTGGGGTGGCCCAAAAGGAAAAACGAAAGTTTCTCCTTTTACATTTAGTAATATATACAGGAGAAGGGGTTACTAGCCCCTTGCTCCCTTGATAATTATTTATGAACAAATATTTATATTTGGATTCTTCAAGATGCGGCACATTTACATTAAAAATGCACCTGTATGTTAAACTTACAAAATATTTTAATACTTACTGAAAAGAATGGACCCTCATCCAGAGTACAGCTGGTCCATGCATTCCAGTTTTTTTGGGGCGGAGACCAGGACACCACCCCACCAGTATATTGTGGGACTTCAGATGCCTCAAATTCAGGCAGCTTAACATCAGTAACCAGATTGTTGGGCTGGGATGGATCATTATTCTGGAGAAATGTAAACTACCATAAATGACAAGTATCAAGCTCATAAGAGATAAAAAATGGCAGAGGGAGAAATGGAGATGTTGAGGAAAGGAAATTAGCAGAAATGAGAGGGAGGGGATCACAGCTGTTGTAGCAAATTGGACATATAGTACTTTAGTTAAGAAATCATAAAGTATGTCAACAGTAAATGTAGGTCTGTAGAAAAAAATTTAGATCTGGTTAATGCAGTTATTTAGATAATAACAGCAGCAGTAGAAGTGGCTACACAAGGGTTTATGAAGTCCACACACCCTTTCTCCTTTCAGGTCATCACAGTCCCTCATGATCCTGAGGTTTGTCAGACAAAACATGCCATTCCTCAACCCATGCTGTTATCATGTGAGGAATTTTGAGTTTCCTAAACATTTGACAGTCTTTTCCCCATAATATTTTGTAACGGAGTACTGTACCTGTCAGGGAATCTAGTCAGTAATTCAAGTTTTCAATACTTACTGGCTGAACTGGCTGGATGCCTGTAATCTGTATCACAGAATCCATCATAGCTGTAAGCTCAGGTGAGAGGGCTACTTGATATGGTCTGAGGTGGAAATCTATCAGTTTCTTAGAAAATGGCTCAAGTAGATTCAATTCATAAAGTTGTTGGACAATTGAGAGACAACAGTTTCTACTGGCAGCTCTTTTATTGGGCCCATGTTTTTCTCCACGAATTTCTGTGGATGAAGTGATATGAATTAACAGATTATCATCTTATTGTTATTATTATTATTATTATTATATTATTATTATTATTATTATATTAATTATTATTTTTCCATGTATCAAAAATCTTCCCTATGAGGATAGACTGAGGGCCCTGAATTTGCACTCTCTAGAAAGGTGTAGAATTAGGGATGAGATGATTGAGGTGTATAAATGGAAGACAGGAATAAATAAAGGGGGATATAAATAGCGTGTTAAAAATATCTAGCCTAGACAGGACTCACAGCAATGGCTTTAAGCTGGAAAAATTTAAATTCAGGAAGGATATAGGGAAGCATTGGTTTGGAAATAGAGTTGTCAATGAGTGGAATAAACTCCCGAGTACAGTTATAGAGGCTAAAACATTGTGTAGTTTTAAAAATAGGTTAGATAAATACATGAGTAGGTGTGTGTGGGTTTAAGCTGGACCTGACTAGCTTGTGCTACTAGGTCAGATGCTGTGCTCCTTCCTTAGGTGAATGTGACCTGACCTGACTAGGTTGGGGCATTGGCTTAAGCCGGTAGGGGACTTGGACCTGCCTCGCATGGGCCAGTAGGCTAGCTGCAGTGTTTCTTCTTTCTTATGTTCTTAACATGCCGGCCATCTCCCACCGAGTCAGGGTGACCCAAAAAAGAAGAAACACTTTCACCACCATTCACACTATCACTGTTTTTGCAGAGGTCCACAGAGAGAACAATTTAGATGTCACTCTAAATAGTAAATATTTTTTTTTTTAACAAGTCGGCCGTCTCCCACTGAGGCAGGGTGACCCAAAAAGAAAGAAAATCCCCAAAAAGAAAATATTTTCATCATCATTCAACACTTTCACCACACTCACACATTATCACTGTTTTTGCAGAGGTGTTCAGAATACAACAGTTTAGAAGTATATACATATAAAGATACAGAACATATCCCTCCAAACTGCCAATATCCCAAACCCTTCCTTTACAGTCCAGGCATTGTACTTCCTATTTCCAGGACTCAAGTCCGGCTATATAAAAATAACCGGTTTTCCTGAATCCATTCACTAAATATTACCCTGCTCACACTCCAACAGCTCGTCAGGTCCCAAATACCATTCGTCTCCATTCACTCCTATCTAACACGCTCACGCACGCTTGCTGGAAATCCAAGTCCCTCACCCACGAAACCTCCTTTACCCCCTCCCTCCAACCTTTTCGAGGACAACCCCTACCCCACCTTCCTTCCCCTACAAGTTTATACGCTCTCCATGTCGTTCTACTTTGATCCATTCTCTCTAAATGACCAAACCACTTCAACAACCCCTCTTCAGCCCTCTGACTAATACTTTTATTAACTCCACACCTTCTCCTAATTTCCACACTCCGAATTTTCTGCATAATATTTACACCACACATTGCCCTTAGACAGGACATCTCCACTGCCTCCAACTGCAATATTATTATTATTGTTATTATTATTATTATTGTTATTATTATTATTATTATTAATATAATGGAGAAGTGCTAAACCCATAGAGGGAAGCATAGGAAGCAATCAGATTCAATTCATGCCAGGAAAAGATAGATCCCATTCCTTAGATAAAAATCTCAATGGCAACAAGTCACCTTTATTAAGGGGATGAATTAAGAGACTGGCAATATAGCTCAATATGGGCCTACAGTACACACTGATGTCAGTACACCTTTCTTGATGTCAGTGTTATATAAATATAAGACTGACAAAATTAGAATAGTATACTGTTAAAGTACCATATTTCGCGGCTTATAAGACTTGTTTTAGTTTCAATGGCTCGGCATCAAACGTAACTGGGAGAGCTACAACCCACCCCACACCCCAGACTTATAGCTCCTGTCACTGACTTTCAGTTTATAATTATAGGATGCAGGGTGGTTTTGGGAGACATTTTATGGGGAAAAAACATGCGTCTAATAAGCCGCAAAATACAGTAACAATTTTTATAAGGAAAACCTGCAATTGCAAAAATGGCAGTTCAGTCCCCAGTATTTCTTACACAAAACAAAGAAATATCTATAAAATGTGCACATAATGTGAACAACTTCTCATTTAATACTACAAAACTTCTAATTATTCTGTTAAGAGTTAAATTTTCCTAAGAAGCAAATCTTGTTCTGGGAGAACCATGGGCACAAACAACAATATGAAAAATTACAACCAATTTTCATAATTTAATAGCCTATGCCTCAACATAAACATCTCTTTATTTTTCTTGCTAATTTATGATAAATATTTGACTTCAAAAACTACTTCCAGTATTTAATATGCATATTAACTGCTACTCAACAACTTTGGGTATAAAATATAAAATGAAAAAATTTGAACAGTAATATTGTAAAGAAAGTAGGTACAGTGGAACCTCAAATATCGAACTTTCTTTGGTCCAGAAGTCTGTTCGAGTGCCTTTACCGAATGAATTTATTCCCATCAGGAATAATGTAAATTAGATTAGTCCATTTCAGACCCTTAAAAATACACTTATAAAAGCACTTACAAAAATACACTTACATAATTGGTTGTGTTGGGAGCAGTTCGATTTTTGAGGTTCCACTGTATCACTATTGAGCAAGAGTCAGCAAGAGATATTCCTATAGCACATAATGCAGAATATGACTCAAATATTTAAAAAACAAAACTATAAACAACTAAGAGAACCAGAGAAACTAATCTGCTAGTTTTAGGAGTAATGTACCCTGCCCATTCCTTAAGTTATTTACAATCATCATATTATAATATTCATGAATCATTGACAATGGCTATAAAGGGGTCTTCAGCTTGATCTCATCTATGTCATGTGTGTGAAAGATTCATCCATAAAGACTTGTTGGCCCATGCTAACCTCTCACTAGTGGCCAGACCACAGGCCTGTTAGTTTCAGGACTGGCTAACCATGGGTTCAGCCTCTGCCTGTTTCCAGAAATGAGTAGTGTACCTTGTGATACACTATTTTATGAAATCTTGTAATATCTAGGAACTCCATGGTAGAGAAGAATCCTTCCTCTATAAGTCATGCATGTCATATGAGGCGACTAAAGTGTAGGGAGCAAGGGGATAGTAACTCTTTTTCCTGTATAAATTACTAAATTTAAAAAGAAAAACTTTATGAAAGCATTCCCTCTTTTTAGTCACCCTGCCTCAGTGGGAGATGGAGGGTGCGTTAAAAAATATCTAGGAATTAACTCTATGAGACCAGTTAGTCAAACTTTACGTTTAGAAGTTGATAATGCAATACAATTGCAAACAGTCAATCTTAAAAATGCAGAACAAGCCACATGGGGATGGAAGTCTTTAGCTCTAGATTTTTTGCATTCTACTGCATCATCAGGGGCTATATAATATTGCATAGCTATGCAATGTTGCAAGTCGGCAACAGATAGGAGGGGAAATTCAATGAGGCAAGGCAAGTGATAACCCATGTCACAGAGTGACATGGGTTACCATGTCTTGCAACAGTGCATAGCTGCTGATGATGCACAAGAGTACAAAAGATCTAAGGCTATCGACTTCCATCCCCCCATGTGGCTTGTTCTGCATTAGAAGCTGATAAGTACAGTGTCTACACTCTGAAGAGGTGGAGGGAGTGATGGTGATTGTTTACTTCTTTGAATTACTCTGTCTAGGTGAGAAATAGACATGTAGGAAAAAATAAGAAGTGCAATCTTGAGAAAATGCATTAATAAAAATCAATTAAGTACCTATGATAAAATACATACCTCTTTGAATCTGTTTCACATAGAAGGACATTTCAGCCACATAACTCCTGTTATGAAGAAATGTATAAACAATCAGTACTATACACAAATATATTATTTCAGAGAAGATGCAATAAATAAATAAATATAGCTAAATAAGCATAGCTCTGCCACTGTAGCTGCAAACAGATCATTACATTCTTCATATAACCATCTGTTGCTTTCTCCAATTACCATAACATGCAACACAAAATTCTTATCCATCAATCATTCCATTTTCTTAATTTAATCAAGCTTTTTCTTTTTGTAAGAATTTGTAGTCATTATTATTATTTGTTTTCCATATAATATTAGTTATCATCTTTTAGGTAGTAGGTTGGTAGACAGCAACCGCCCAGAGAGGTACTACCGCCCTGCCAAGTGAGTGTAAAACAAAAGCCTGTAATTGTTTTACATGATGGTAGGATTGCTGGTGTCTTTTTATTCTGTCTCATACACATGCAAGATTTCAGGTACGTCTTGCTACTTCTACTTACACTTAGGTCACACTTCACATACATGTACAATTATATATACACACACCCCTCTGGGTTTTCTTCTATTTTCTTTCTAGTTCTTGTTCTTGTTTATTTCCTCTTACCTCCGTAAGCCATGCGTGTTGTAAGAGGCGACTAAAATGCCAGGAGCAAGGGGCTAGTAACCCCTTCTCCTGTATATATTACTAAATGTAAAAGGAGAAACGTTCGTTTTTCCTTTTGGGCCACCCCACCTCGGTGGGATACAGCCGGTGTGTTGAAAGAAAGAAAGAAAGATTAGTATCATCTGTAAACATATTCCTATAAACAAACACATGAATATAATAAACACTGGTCAAAGACACAAACAAGCCCTCATAGATAAAACAGACAGAAGAGAATTGCACTGCATATCTCAGCCTACCAATGAAAACCTCAATGGTAGGCCAAAATATAAAGCACTCTTCACTTAGGCCTTCAGTGGTAGACTGAAGTATAATAAAGTACTGTGCTCTTCATTAAAATTTTATTAATTTAATTAATTTTATGAAGTTATGTCACCTGTCTTGAGAGTAACAAAAGTCCATGTATCCTTGGAAGCGATCACAAGAACATTCCTTGAGAGTGATATTCAAAAAGATATGCCCCAAAAGTATTGTTCCTTAAAGCATTCTCTATAATATCAGTACCACATTTCCCATAACAAATTAAAATTTCATCAACTACCTTACCTCAAATGTTCGGGACCAACTTCCCTGTACTTGAAATCAGCTTTGAGGTCATTTGCACGAAGAAACCTGCTGAGACCTGATCTTGCATTCGCAAGTGTCCAATTACCATGAATAACTGCAGTAGGATCCTCCTCTTCAGCCTGGTAAGAGAAATTATCTAGATTAAAGCTTGCATAATAAGATCTACATTGCGAGGAACAACCCTGTTCCACAAACTCCAGTAACTACGAATTTGTAGCTACAAGAGCAGACCAATGTTTGTGGTTCCCCAACTTTTGTACAGTATTTACCTACCTGTCAAAAGTATACGATATTTACAGCACTACCTCCTCTTGTAACCAATTATGCTGTTCAACACGCCTGTTAATCAAGAATTTTCTATTATCCTTTTGGCAACTTCTCTTTCTCAATTCATACATATGATCTTGTTTTCCTTGTGGAATGTGATAAGAAATTTTCCTAATCCATTTTTTCCTAGCCTTGTGTAATATTGTGTGTGGTTATCATCTCTCATCTTTTCCAAGTAGCATTCAATTTAGCTGCATCTTTTTTCAGCTTTTCTTGTTAGTATTATTATTACTAAAGTCAACTTAAGGTTAAATCTTAAAAGATCATACAGTGCTGAGGAAGGGATGTGTGAAAATCGGAATGTGCGAAGGGTAGCTCTATATACTAGCTCCATCAATGTGCCATTACTTCAGAGAGATAAATGCTATGGAACAGAACAACTTATATTAAGGCGGAGCGAATGAGCACCGTAAAATTACTTCTCCACTTGTATTAAGGCTGTGGGACTGAACACTTCCATCCCTTCTTCACCTATCTTCATTATTTTAGTCACCTCTGTGTTCAAGTAAAGAAGCCTGCTGCTGCACAGGCAAAAAGTTTAGGGAATAAAGATGTCAAAGTGTTGCATGTGTCTCTTGTATGTACTGTAAGTACAGTAATATATTTTAACATTGTTATACTGTATTCAAATCTAAAGCTTACCTCTTCTGTAGCTTTACGTTCCTGTGTGCATTCCATGTTTGTGGTATCAACATTTCCTCCAGAACTTGAAACTTCCTCCTCCTTCTTTTTCTCACTTTCACGTAGAGCCTTCATCTAACAAGTACATTATATAATATATAATGAAATGCAAAATGTGTTTCATAAACAATCAAATCATACCAGTCTAATACAAATGTACGTTCTAGCAGGGCAATGACAAAAAGTGATAAAACAAGCATTGTAGTTTTTCATAGGATATACCCTCAATTTTTTTCCTATATCGTATCTACATTCCAATACATACTGCAAGTTTTGTATTTTATTTATATACTTGGAGGGTGTATGACTCTACAGTGGAGGGAAGGCAGAGCAGGGGTCACCCGATGGAAGGTTAGAGGGAGGGGTAAAGAAGGTTTTGTGTTCAAGGGGCTTGGACATCCAGCAGGCATGTGAGAGCATTTTAGATAGGATGAAGTGGAGGTGAATGGTTTTGGGAAATTGATGAGCTGTTGGAGTGTGAACAAGGTAACATTTGTGAAGGGATTCAGGGAAACCAGTTATCCAGCTTTAAATCCTAGAGGCAGAAAGTATAGTGCCTGCATTTTGAAGGAGGGATGGTGATATTTGCAGTTTAGGGGGTATCTGAACTGTAGTATCAGTGTGCCTCTGTTAAGACATTCATAGAATGAAGGACAATGAAATTGTTTCTCCTTTTTCTAAGTTGCCCAACCTCGGTGAGAGAAGTCCAGTGTTAAAAATAAATTGCATTTTATTTATACATAATTTTAGCTAATTAAGATTACCCTGGTACTTGCACAATATAAAAACTACGGTACCACAAGATATTTACTGTGCACATGAAAATGCATTTTCTTTTAAATGGGTAATTTCCAATTAAGGCATGTGGTTGCAAGAAACACACTGACCATCACTCACTCCCTGTCTTTCTGGAAGTGCATAGGTAATACGTACAACAGTATTATCAAAATCACCTGCTGAACTTGTACATCCCTACCCACCATTCAAATTAACAGGTTCATGTGAGTAACACAACATTTATGAAGGATTTCAGGGAAACTGGTTAGCCAAATTTGATTCCTGGAAGTGGGAAGTACAGCACCTATACTTTGAAGGAGGGATGGGATGATGTAGTCTGGAGGTTCATTTGAATTATATTGTCTATGCACTTTTGGCAAGACAGCGTTTGAATAAATGATGAATATGTTTCCTATTTTTAGGTCACCCTACCTGGGTAAGAGACAGTTGGTATATTAACCCTTTGACTGTTTTGGTCGTATATATACGTCTTATGAGCCAGTGTTTCGGACGTATACATACACTCAATAATTCTAGCGGCTTCAAATCAAGCAGGAGAAAGCTGGTAGGCCCACATGTGAGAGAATGGGTCTGTGTGGTCAGTGTGCACCACAAAAAAAATCCTGCAGCACGCAGTGAATTAAAACGCCGACTTTGTGTTGTATTTTCATATAGTATTTATCTTTGTATTCTCATTTTCATGGTCTCACGTGATAAAATGGAAAACATATTGCAGAAATAGATATGATTTTGATTAGTTTCACAATGAAAATGACCTTGAAATTGAGCTCAAAGTAGCGGAAATGTTCGATTTTTACCAATGTTCAAGAGTAAGCAAATAACACCACATGTCCAATACACGTCAACTGGGGAGTCTAATATTCTTTCACTAGTGCACTGATATTATTTATCCCATTTTTACAATAATGCAGTAGTCTGCATAACAGTAAATTTTGTATTTTTTGTATGAATAAAAAATCAAAAGAGAAAGCATTAGTAATATAAGAGGGGCGTAGAGACGTGACTAATGAACAGAGGATATGTTATTTTAGTGCCAAGAATGTCTACACTGTTTATTCTGGACCCTATTTTGAAATTGGCATCTTTTTTAATTTGCGTGAAATTGGCCAAATTGCCAATTTCTGACCACTTTATTGGGTAGTTCAAATCGGTAAATGGGCGGTTTCTTGTACTCAATTGATAGAAAAAATGGAGTTCTAAAGAAATAGCTATGAGTTTGGTCAACTGGAACAATAGAATTGACCAAAAACAGGGCTCAAAGTCAGTGAAATTGCCAATCCGCATATGTTGCTGAGACCGCTAACTTCGCAGGAGCGTAATTCCGTGAGTTATCAACCAAATTTCGTACTTTTGGTGTCATTACCATCGGGAAAAGATTCTCTATCATTTCATAAGAAAATTTTTTCTTTCTTTTTTTTTCCAAAAATTTTGCGACATAGAATGAGTTTCAGAAAGGGGCTTGTGACAGTCAAAGGGTTAAAAAGAAATAGCAGGAATTACTCACAAAAAACCACACTAAGAGAAGAAGCTTTAGATGACAACTCAGTCTGTCCTGGACCATTTTCAAGTGACTTGATAATGGTCCACCATGGACCAAAACATTGTCTAAAGGGTCCTCTTAAGTATGGTTTCCTTTGTGAATTGCACAAGACAAGAGAAAACTCATGATTTCTAGCACTATACTTCATCTTTATCAAACATTAAAAATAAATACTGGCAGGCCCCACTTTACGGCATTTCGCTAATACAGCAGCTTTTCAGTTATACCCATTCTTCATTTATTAAGACTCCCTACAATAAATATAATCAGCACTCACTATACGCTAAGGACAAAAATGTTTTGAGGTAAGCACAGTAAATAATGTCCAAATAATACTGCCAAGCTACTACTTGATGCCCTTGCTTTCTAGTGTGTGCAATTTTTATCTTAGACATGTATGTACTATTAATAATAAACAAATTTCTTTGTCCTCATATTTATTTAGTTATTATTCTCAATATGGTTCCAAAAGTGAAATTTAAATAACCATCTTACCAGTAAAGTTGGAACTTCATATGAAGGCACCTCTCCATTGTTGATAAGGTACAGGGATAATTCTTTGGCTGCATCATTTTGAGCAACTTTACTGCTCTTTGATTTACCATGAGCCACGAAATCATAGCCAGAGACACGTGCCTCACAGAAAAATAGCGGATTACGATACTTTGGACCTGAAAAAATAAATTTTCGTTGATTCTGATTAACAACTAGAACAGGGCTTGATACTGGTTGATACTGTACATATCACTAGGAATCTGTTAGGGGACACTTGGATTGGCCATTAATTGACAGGGACCTAAAACTGGTGGTTTACAGATACTTTAAGGCAGATTACCAGTGGTTTATCAGAACCAACCAACAGAAACAATGCTTTACAACAGTGATAAAGAAAATGTTTGAATAATAGTATCCAAGTTCCTGTAACCATAAATTATTAATCAATGTACAGTTATTTACCTTTAGCTGTAACCACAAATTCAGAATGAAGCTTCTTTTTCATACAATAAGTATGAAGCCACTCCTTGAAGTTTACAGCCTTCTCAACCCATGATATATTTCTATCAGCCATCTTGAAAGCCTGTAAATTAAGCAAAAATGAAGATTCTTAAAAACAAAAAAAGTATTATATAAAAAAAATCTGCATGGAATTTTAAACTAAATAATAATAAACCCTCAAGTTAAAGGACTAACAGGGAAGAATGGATAGCTTATAATGTGGGGATATTGTTGTGTCATAATTCCAACAATAATGGACATTTCGGTAACCAACAGAATGTTTCCGTGGTTTCTGCACCATCTGATCCAACAGATTTTGTCCTGTAGTTCCAAAATTCATTATAATGAGGTCTATTAAATCAAGGGTTTGCTGTATAGTACTTTACAAATAAAGACTATGTCCACAGCATACATGGGATTCCCTGCTGAACTTGTGTATGCATTAGATTTTAATTAGCAAATAATTATGAAAAATTTAAATAATTATCTATTTTTAATTTTACAGGAGCAGAACTATGCTTGTGGTGTCCTGTCTTCATTAATATTAACATGTTCATGTAATCTTTTTAAAAATTTCCATTGGTTGTAAAATTTACTACCTCTTCTTTCAGTTTATTCCATTCTTCTATCACTCTACTTGTAGAGAAAAGTTTCCTCAGTACTCCTTTGACTTCATATTTTTTATTAATTGACACCTATTGCTTCTTGTTAGCCCTGTTAAGATAGACTGCTTAAAACTTCATCTATTCTTTCATATTGTTTTCAGATCATTTCTTTTCCTCTTTTCAGCCAGCATGGACATCTCGTGTTATTACCCTTTCATTGTAACTAATGTTTTATTGCTCTGGGATCCATTTTGTAGCTTTTCTTTGAGCTTTTTCTATGTAATCCACGTGTCTTTTTACATGTGGACACCACACAACAGTTGCATGTTTCAAGTTTGGCCATAATTGCATTGTAAATGGCTTTTATGACATCTTTCCACTCAAATACTATTTAGAAACTATTTTATATTTAGCCAGTGCAAGACATGCATTTCTCATAGTTTCATTTACTGAATATGATCTGGCTGGACAGTTTTTTTTTATTAATAATAATCAAATACTTTTCTTGTATGATACAGCACTAGAAATTTTGCCACACAATTAATATTTGGTTAAGGTTTCCGTCTACTACTCGGCAGAACTCGGGCAGTACTTTGCATTTTACAATAGCTACATACAACCTACGTGCATCACGAAATTAATATTTCTTGTGGAATTGTTATTTTGGAGGATATTTATTTTGGTTGCATAGTGAATCTGAGTCAATAAATGTTTAGTACAGTGTTATGTCACACACCTAATCGAATGTAAATAAAGATGTGCCAGAACCAATAGTGCAAGGTTAAGTTACATTAGGTTATTTTAGGTTGGGTTACATAAGTTACCTTAGGTTACATTACTTTTTTTACCATTTGCATGACAAAATAATATCTCAACTATAAAAGCAACTTAATATTGTACACTTCAAACTATAATAATGGCCAAAACTTGTTGAGTGACAGTAGTATACTTTTGCCCTATACATATTCTTTATGAGGTCAGATTTCGCTTCCTTCTACTTCCATTATCAACATTAAAATATATCATCCCTCTGTCACTCCATTTGTTCAGTTAAGTTAGGCTAAGGGACTGACCGCTCTCTAAGAAAACTGAGAAACTGGTTACCTCGAAATTAATACCAACACTTCCCCTGTCTTTAGTATTATAATCACATATATTCGACTGAAGAAGCCTGCTGTGCAGGGGAAACGTTTCGCCAATAAAGATACCTCAGTGTTACACATGTGTCTTGTTGATTAACCTGAAGGACCCCTATGGAAATGGCACATTATCCGGGTTATCCTATGCTAAATCAACATAATGTACCACACGTGGGCGACCACAAGACAAGTGTGCCCTCAACACCATTGTAAAAATCCAGAAAACTTACATATGAAAGCAAAATAAGACATACTTAGTGAATTAAGCTTGTTGTTTAGGTGGAGGGCCACCACGCCTGACGCCGTATCACTCCCAGCTCTCTTAACACCAAATATTACACTCAATCTGGCCTGTAAATTCTAAAGGAGGAAAGGAAAGGGCTTCACTTCCGCCACATGGAAGGGAAGAAACGTTGTAAATTAGGTAAGGAAGAAGCGGTGGCTACACCGGTGAAGAGTAAGAGACCAACACAGTGAGCCAGACTGACGCAGGAGTCACTGGTGTTGTTACGTTGTAAGGGACAACACGGCCCACCATCCAACAATTATCTTGTATTAAATACTGTGTTTATTTCGTTTATGTAATAGCAGATGCAAATGCTGTTATATGGAACGTTTAATGGTAACGTTTCGTTCATTGTGTGGGCGAAACGTTGCCACGCGGGAGACCGGGGTTCGATTCCTTCGCTGGGGAGGCAAATGGTTTTACAAGGACCCCAAAGGAAATAAATCACTTTGTCTAACATTTTTCGGGGGTTATCTTAGGTAATTAGCACTATATATGATAACTGCACTTATGTGTACCTGTGTCTAAATTAAATTACTTATTAATGTACCTGCATTTGTGTTTACTGTATCGGTATCTTTTACCATTTCCTAACTAGGTATAAATTCTTATAATGATCGAGATAACAAGGGCACACACTCATAATATATTATGTAGACGTGCCCCAGTAAAGTTAAAGAATATTATTTATTTCCACTGGAGTCCTCAATTTTAAATTTTTATTCTGGACCTCCATTCAGTACTTCTTTAACCCGTCAGGTATGCAGGTACTACAGGTATACATAAATACAGTTACATAAATTATCATACATAGCAGCATATGTGTAGATTACCTGGGATAACCTAAGAAAGTCAAAGTGACTTATTTCCAATGGGGTCGTTCATCAAAGGAATTGATACGGCCTTCCACTTTCTGGGATCTATCCTGATCATCATCCATTTCCCGGGTACTGTATGACCCAAGTAATATTTGTGACAATTTATGTTTTTTTTTTTTAAGATACATTCTTTTTACTATGGTTTTGAATGCACATATGTTATGGCTACAAATCTGATCCACTACGTAAACTCTACTGGAGTCATTATTTCTCGACACTAGTCATATATACGTTGGATTGCTTGCGGCCGGCAGTAAGAACCTGGTTGATCCACTGGGAGGCCTGGTCATGGACCGGGCCAGGTATATATTCCCTCTTATACTCCACCTTTAGTGATATTAAAAGTATAATGCGAAACAAAAATGTGTGAACACTGCTATATTATACACTGCTCATGAATATGTTAGTATCTCAATTTATTCATGGGGGCGCTAAATTCGTAGGGGATCATTCAGTGCCTTGGGAATGAGAGGCAGATTCCATCCAAGTGAGGATAGCTCCATTTCCTTGAAGGAAGAGTTCTTCTGGGTCCTCAAAGTTACCACATGAGGCAAGGTGGTGCAGGTGGCTGCTGGTGACATTCTTTATCTCTAGTCTCATTGATCTATACTATGACCTTGACATGATCAGGTAACCCATTTATTTATTTGTATTATTATTATTACAATCTAAACTGAGCTCTAAACCACAATGGTCATGCAGTTTATTCTGTATGATACTAGGTATTACTTAGTTATTAAGGACTAGATAGTATCAATATCTGCTTCCCATGTCAACGATTATTATTTAGGGAAAGCCCTAAACCGTAGGGGTCATGTATTGTCTAGGGTACGGGAAGTATTCAAGTTTAATCCAAGGAAGGGGAGTCCAAGTCCAGATCCTTGGATCAAGAGCTTCAGCTATCATCCTTGAGGGTCCTGTATAAACTTCAACTCACCCAACAAACCTAGTAATTGTACCTCAAAACCCTCACTAGGTAGATATATCTTAATTTGTTTAATAACATCTGTAAATAAGGACTTACAAAGCCACTAATATTATGAACCTTCCTTTGAGGAATTTACACCAGCCATTGAACATCGAAGTCTCACCGGAAAAAAAAAAATCTATTTTTAAGGAAAGTCTGAAAATTGGCACCTATACACTTCAGTAACATTCCACACATTCTTCTTAATAAGTTTCATTTGTGTTGAATGTGGAAATAGTATTTCCTCGTTTTTAACAAATCAAGAGACGTCAAATTATCACACTGAAAACATTGCGTTTTTACATGCATCAAGTTGACGTTGTTAGCACCTACACATCTCAATAACAATCTGAATCTTCTGATAACTGAGATAAACACTGAAAGTTAAACCCAAACAGAAGTCACTTTCGTATTATTACAGAGAAACAATGAAAAACAAAAACTGTACTTAAGTATATGACCGGCTCTCCAATAAAACAGTATGTAAAAAAAATAATGTTTAGGGTTCACTAAATTAATGACACCAAAAAAAAAAAAATTACAAATATGCGAATTTTCAATATTTTATTGTATTGTATATTCTATTTAAAATTCTCTGTTATCTTGTATTTTTTTTTTTTGAAGAAACTGAAACTGAGGTAAAATTCTAAAAAAAATATTATCTACACTGACTAATGACAATTTTTCATTAAAGTTTGAAAAGGCTAAAGATTTATTCGTTTTGATGGGCAACCAGAGTCACATTAAATGTCTTCAGATACATGATAGAACTGATGAATGGGATAAGTTATATTACCTGGAGAGAGTTCCGGGGGTCAACGCCCCCGCGGCCCGGTCTGTGACCAGGCCTCATTGTGGATCAATGCCTGATCAACCAGGCTGTAAATTACAATCTTGGCTTGTCATGTAACAAATTTCAATTACTCAGATATGGTAAACATGAGGAAATTAAATCTTCATCAGAGTACAAAACAAATTCTGGCCACGAAATAGAGCGAAACACCAACGTCAAAGACCTGGGAGTGATTATGTCGGAGGATCTCACCTTCAAGGACCATAACATTGTATCAATCGCATCTGCTAGAAAAATGACAGGATGGATAATGAGAACCTTCAAAACTAGGGAGGCCAAGCCCATGATGACACTCTTCAGGTCACTTGTTCTATCTAGGCTGGAATATTGCTGCACTCTAACAGCACCTTTCAAGGCAGGTGAAATTGCCGACCTAGAAAATGTACAGAGAACTTTCACGGCGCGCATAACGGAGATAAAACACCTCAATTACTGGGAGCGCTTGAGGTTTCTAAACCTGTATTCCCTGGAACGCAGGAGGGAGAGATACATGATTATATACACCTGGAAAATCCTAGAGGGACTAGTACCGAACTTGCACACGAAAATCACTCACTACGAAAGCAAAAGACTTGGCAGACGATGCACCATCCCCCCAATGAAAAGCAGGGGTGTCACTAGCACGTTAAGAGACCATACAATAAGTGTCAGGGGCCCGAGACTGTTCAACTGCCTCCCAGCACACATAAGGGGGATTACCAACAGACCCCTGGCAGTCTTCAAGCTGGCACTGGACAAGCACCTAAAGTCAGTTCCTGATCAGCCGGGCTGTGGCTCGTACGTTGGTTTGCGTGCAGCCAGCAGCAACAGCCTGGTTGATCAGGCGCTGATCCACCAGGAGGCCTGGTCACAGACCGGGCCGCGGGGGCGTTGACCCCCGAAACTCTCTCCAGGTAAACTCCAGGAACTTGACTGACTTATGACTGAGGGAGACTGACATAAGTCAGTCCATCTATCATTCCATTATGCAGGAGGAGCCACATGTCTATCATGCAGTAGGAGCCACATGTCTATCATGCAGTAGGAGCCACATGTCCATCATGCAGTAGGAGCCACATGTCTATGGTGCATCCAACAAAATAAGCAGAATCTTGGATGTCACTACCGCCCGGCTCCGGTTATTGGGTTACAAGTATCTTTGGCAGTTGTAGACCTAACAAAATGTAAACTTTGCCAAGTAGATTATTGTCATATCCTGCGTCATTATGTACTGGAAAGCGATAAAATTAATGAATTTAGAGACAACTCGCCCAAAAATGTTCAAGATATGTCGAAGTATTTTCGTGCAATAACTGGAGACAGCCTCCAGTTATTGCACGGAAACCAATAATCCCTGGCACGGGTGAACCATTGGTATGTTACCCTACACCTGCTGCCCGTGTTCACTAAGTAGTTAGTAGGTACCTGAGCGTTAGTTACCTTACACCTGCTGCCCGTGTTCACGTAGTAGTTAGTAGGTACCTGGGTGTAGTTACCTTAGACCTGCTGTCCCTGTTCACCTAGCAGTTAGTAGGTACCTGAGCGTTAGTTACCTTACACCTGCTGCCCGTGTTCATGTAGTAGTTAGTAGGTACCTGGGTGTTAGTTACCTTACACCTGCTGCCCGTGTTCACGTAGTAGTTAGTAGGTACCTGGGTGTTAGTTACCTTACACCTGCTGCCCGTGTTCACGTAGTAGTTAGTAGGTACCTGGGTGTTAGTTACCTTAGACCTGCTGTCCCTGTTCGCCTAGTAGTTAGTAGGTACCTGGGTGTTAGTTAACTTTCACCTGTTGCCCGTGTTCACCTAGTAGTAGGTACCTGGGTGTTAGTTACCTAACACATGTTGCCCGTGTTCACCTAGTAGTTAGTAGGTACCTGGGTGTTACTTACCTTACCCGGAATTTACCTGGAGAGAGTTCCGGGGGTCAACGCCCCCGCGGCCCGGTCTGTGACCAGGCCTCATGGTGGATCAGAGCCTGATCAACCAGGCTGTTACTGGTGGCTGCACGCAATCCAACGTACGAGCCACAGCCCGGCTGGTCAGGTACCGACTTTAGGTGCTTGTCCAGTGCCTGCTTGAAGACAGCCAGGGGTCTATTGGTAATCCCCCTTATGCATGTTGGGAGGCAGTTGAACAGTCTTGGACCCCTGACACTTATTGTGCTGTCTCTTAACGTGCTAGTAACACCCCTGCTTTTCATTGGGGGGATGTTGCATCGTCTGCCGAGTCTTTTGCTTACGTAGAGAGTGATTTTCGTGTGCAAGTTTGGTACTAGTCCCTCTAGGATTTTCCAGGTGTATATAATCATGTATCTCTCCCGCCTGCGTTCCAGGGAGTACAGGTTCAGGAACTTCAAGTGCTCCCAGTAATTGAGGTGTTTTATCTCCGTTATGCGCGCCGTGAAGGTTCTCTGCACATTTTCTAGGTCAGCAATTTCACCTGCCTTGAAAGGTCCTGTTAGTGTGCAGCAATATTCCAGCGTAGATAGAACAAGCGACCTGAAGAATGTCGTCATGGGCTTGGCATCCCTAGTTTTGAAGGTTCTCATTATCC